TTAAAAAAATAATCTATTTTCATTTTATTTGAAAGGCAGTTGGAAAGAGAGCATCCACCTTGCATCATTAGGGAATGAATGTATTTTCTAAGTGCCTACAACATCCAGGGTTGAGCTAGGCCAAAGGCAGGAGCCCAGAATTCCATGCGGGTGGCAGGAACCCAAGTACTTGAGCCATCACCTGCTGCCTTCCAGGATGCACGTTAGCAGGAAGCTGGATGGGAAGCAGAGGAGCCAGGTGTAGAACTGGGCATTCTGATATGGGATGCAGGGGGCTTAACCACTGCACCAGATACCACAGAAGGAATATTTCTTAGGGCCAGGCCTTTAATAAGAACTCGGTCAGGGTTGCGGTGGTATTCTCCAGCAAGAGTTTAAATAGCCGAAGTCCTGCATAGTTGCTATAGGGTCAATGTCTTACCTCTAAGGGTCCCTTGAGCAGAGGGATAGGATTACTATTTCCTCATTAAGCTGAAACCCAGTCACAACCATGCAGCCTCTGCCTGGAGATGTCCTGAGGATGGAGGGGGGACACCATGGGGAAGATAAAAATTGTCTTCTAAAAGGCCTCCTGGGCAGCGACCAACAGCAAGGACAGGCAGGTCCTGGCGAGCTCCTCCGTGGAGTAAGGCGGCAATGATTTTTGCCTTTTATACTGTTGCAGTCGGTACTGTCAATCATCCCCCAGCAAGGAAAAAAATCAAGTTTTTAGGAACCGGCAAAATGTCAAACAAATATAACTTGTAGCAAAGCCTTCACTAAAGTATGCATGAAAATATACTTCTGGGCAGTTCAATATAGGCGAAGTCTCCAGTGTTTTAGAATAGTTGGCTCAATGCATTCTTTTCTGACAGCAGGACCACCATCATTATTACGCATAATTTGAGTAAAATCTAGAAATGCGGTTTCGTTTTTCCCCTTCCCCTTCCTTCCAGCCCAGACTCTAGTTTTCTTGTTTAACTTCCACGCTTTTCTCTAAGATGACCAACAGGCACCATGCCAGGAACAGCTGTGGCTGCTGCTCTTCTCAGAAGAGCATCCTCCGGGCTGTGTTTAACAGAAAAGAATATTCTGGCCCAGCGGGATATTTTTTCACCCCTTCTATCGTTTATCCTATCTGCAGTATTCAGTGCAGCAAATATCAGTGGTGCCAGGACCTAAATAGGAAGCAATGAGAGAGAAAAACCAGTGTGGAGGGGCCGGCACTGTGGTGCAGTGGGTTAACGCCCTGGCCAGAAGCACCGGCACCCCATATGGGCGCCGGTTCTAGTCCCAGCTGCTCCACTTTGATCCAGCTCTCTGTTATGGCCTGGGAAAGCAGTAGAAGATGGCCCAAGTGCTTGGGCCCCTGCACCTACATGGGAGACCCGGAAGAAGCTCCTGGCTCCTGGCTTCGGATCGGCACAGTTCCGGCCATTGCGGCCAATTGGGGAGTGAACCATTGGATGGAAGACCTCTCTCTCTCTCTCTCTCTCTCTCTGCCTCTCTTCTCTCTGTGTAACTCTGACTTTCAAATAAATAAGTAAATTTAAAAAAAAAAAAAGAAAAACTAGTGTGGAATGGAGACTCACAAATAGCTTTCAACCTAGATTGCACAGTTGTTAGGACCCTGCTCAGTAAGTGTGGGGTGTGGGGTGATAAAAGTCATAAGTATTGATAGGAGGGCAAATGATGCAACGAAATTTAAGATGATCCTGGGTTATTTCCTTTTACCCCAGCCTTTTCACTCTGTTCATTTCAGTTAGCCCTGAGGTGCATCTTCCAAGTGCCAGGCCCTACATAGGGGGTGCAGGTACAGCAGAAGTCTAGTACAGGCCTTGCCCTCAAAGAGCTGCTTCTAGCGAGAGCCAGCAAAGCTTGCTAACAGTGTCTGCCTGAGACTGACGATGTGATCTGCCTCTGGCGTGTGTTGGTGCATCCTCTCCACAGCCCCATGCCTAGGAGGGGAGAGAGGAAACATTTCTCCAGGAAAGGCATTAGCGCAGAGACAGCGCCAGCTGGAAATTGGCAGGGTGCCCTCCGAAGGTTGGAGAAGTGATTTATTTTTCCAGCCTCACCACAGGAACCAGAGCCCTGGCAGATGCCTCCATGTGTTAGCAGCGGCCTATCCGAGTGAGATCATTATTAATTATTAGTCACTTTTGCATGTCTTTCTCAAAAACTGCAAAGGACTTGGGAAGCCCAGGCTCTCTTGAGTTGCAATCAATACTGAGTATACCTTGCATGGGCACCTGAGTGGCATGTAATTATAAAACAGTATTGATTCCTAGCAAAGGGGTTGAAAATGTACAAATCCGTCACATAAAAAATCAGCTAAATCTTCAAAAGTCTCAAATATTTTTTTCCCTCAAGAAAGAGACCAATGGTTGGAGTAAAAAACTTGAAATGTTAGCTAAATTAGGGCTATTTCCTGCCAGGAGCCAGTTCTGTACATATAATTATTTTATTCTCTGTACTGGCACTGATTTGTTTTGGTTGCGTATTGGGAATGTCCCTGTTTTGGGTCTGTAATCCAAATATTTCAGTTGTTTCCTAAGATGAGGTTTTCTCCTCGTGTCTGTGATGTTTGTGTAAAATCGCAGGGCTAGGGCTGGACTTACCCTTTTTACCCCCACAGACCCCTGCCTTTCCCCTCATCTCTGTTGTACCATCAGAAGCCCCTTGGCCAGGACCTCCACCCACCTCCATGCCCCATAGTCCCCACGTTCTGCCTGTTTATTTTGGCCTGTTGCCTGTTGCTACTTCTAAGTTGGCGCCCACTCCAGTCCCGTGAGGACGACTGAAAATCTGGATGCTCTTGAGTCCTCCTCCTTTGGCTGCATCGCCATCCTCTGCGGGGTTCACTGCCAGTCTTTGCTTATGTCACCAGTGCCCTGTCGCCCCATGCCTAGATCTGTGAAAAGTTCTTGAACCACTTTTCTGCTCTGAGTCTTGTCCCCTCCCATGGCTGCAAGGTGCAATTCTGATCACGTCCTATGACTGCATACAGCCCTTCCAGTGGCTCATCATTGCCTACCTGTATTCTAAGGTAGGCAAATAATTACTGATCTAGAAATGAGAGACATTGAGTGATCACTTTGACAGCACATATACTAGAAATGATAGGCACTGAATATAAAAAAAAATGTAGTTTATCACCCAGGAATCGGAAGCCACTGGAAGACAGCAGGTCCAGAGGATTGTATCCAGAGGTACAGGAGGAAGCATTTTGAAGGTCTGTGGTTGGTTCAGCTGGGCCTATGACAGAGAACTTTTGTATGGAAACTGTTCTCCTGGTTATGTGGAGCTAGCTTGTCCGTGTGATAGTCACGGTCCGTTCTATTCCAGGCACTGTGTGTTCCTCTGCCACACAGTGAAGACATGACGTGTTAAGAATGACAGAGAACAGGCCTCCTCTCAGGTTCTCTGTGAGGCTCATGTTTGAGGAAGGAGACATGCCAATGCCAGTACAGGCATCTGACATAAAAGACCTGCAATCCATCTCAGAAGGGGTGCTGACGGCATGTTGTACGGGCAACTGCTTTGTGACGTGTGACAGTCTTGCACAATGTAGGATGTCTGACGCCACTGGCCCCTTGTGCTAAGTGCCACTCATGTTCTCCAGCCATCGGGACAACTGGCAGATCCCCTCCCCTGCCCCACAGAGTTCCAAAGCCTTCCAAGACAGAGCAAGGATGCTATACCTACTTGAGAATCTGTAACTGCTTGGCTTTGTTCCAACTTCTCCTGAAACATTCTCCTTTCCTGAGAGCATGATGTAGAGGATAATGAGCAGCCACACCGTTTGTGATCTCCCTGTCATTCCTATTGCCTCTTCTGTAATGATGGAGCTCAGATACTGAAATTGCATTGCCTGGCTTTGAACTCCAGCTCCACCACTTATGATGGACTGGGTATGACCTTGAATGTGAGCATGACCTTGAGCAATTAATCTCTCAGTTTTCTTATATAAAATGGGGATCATAGTAATATCTACCTTAGAGGCTGTGGGGAATGATTAAATAAATACAATGTGTAAAGGTCCTATTAAAATGTTCACAGTCAGCAGCACATTAATTGTAGGAGGTGATGATAGTTCCCTGAGCTTAGAGGTCTTATTTGAGCAAGAAGTTAAAATTGACACCTAAAAAATGACCACTCCAGAAAGCACAGAGAAGCAGCAGAGTATACAAGAAAGACTAGTGTGACCAGTGTAGGAGTCAGTGAATTTTCTTGCAAAGTCAGCCATTATATACTGGGCAACATTGAATATGTCACATCACTTCTGATTTCTCAGTTCTGTACATATGAAACGTTGGGGTTGTGCAGTGTCAAGATCGGATGGGGGCTGACCCTGTGGTGCAGTGGGTTAAAGCCACAGTATGCAGTGTTGGCATCCCACATGGGCACTGGTTTGAGTCCCAGCTGCTACACTTCTGATCCAGTTCTCTGCTTTGGCCTGGGAAAGCAGTAGACGATGCCACAAGTCCTTGGGCCCCTGAACCCACATGGAAGACCCGGAAGAAGCTCCTGGCTTCGGATCAGCTCAGCTCTGGCAGTTGCAGTCATTTGGGGAGTGAACCACAGATGGAAGACCTTTCTTTCTCTCTGGCTCTACCTCTCTCTGTAACTCTATCGTTTAAATAAATAAATATATAAAAATTTAAAAAAAAAATTGGGTGGCATAAGCATTGCGAAGTGATTACCTTGTGATGCGTGATAAAGAGCCTTTATGCATTGGACTTTCCTACCTTGGTGTAAATAAAATACCCACCAGCCACTGGGACAAGGCGTTGAGCAGGAATTTCCTAGTAAGAGTCGACTTGCATGGCAAATGGCAAGTGTCCTGTGAGACCCTAAAGCGCTCTCAACCACCCTGCACCCATGCACCCAGGAGAGAGCATGCCCTGGTCAGTTAGGTCGCTGCCCTTAAGGGCTCACTGGAGGCAGCTCTCCCGGCTGGTTCCAACATCCGCTCCCGGGCCACTGCCTTCACTGTCGTCTGCTTGTTGTCCCCGCAGCAACAAAGGCGGGAGAAGGAGCTGCGCAAGCAGCAGGAGAGGGAGCAGCGCCGCCACTACGAGGAGCAGATGCGGCGGGAGGAGGAGCGGAGGCGCGCTGAGCACGAGCAGGTACGGCCGGGCCCGGGACTCCTGCAGCTGGCTTCCAGTGCTGGTCGCCTTCTCTGTGTTCTCTTATGGCAGCTTGGGGTGTGGTTTAAGCGGGTTTGCTTTCTTTCTTTTTCTTTTCTTTTTTTTCTTTTTTTTTTTTACTAAAGCAACTATCCTGAGCTATTCAAGAAGTCAAATGCACAACCTTGGCAACACATGGCTCCTTGAGCTTCGGTTCCTACCCAGGCCAGATTCCCCTGACAAACCTGGACCTTCTGACTCTCCCAACCAGGGGTGTCCAGTTCGAAGGCGGCACTGGAGCATAAGCAACGAGCCCGGCCTGCCACTTCCGTTGCTTGCAGCGGGCCTTTGTACTCACGTAGGCTCTGCGCTCTGTGGCTGTGAGTCATTGCTACAGGCCCCTCTGCTGGCGAGTCGTCTCCCATAGCACAGCCCAACTCCGCACGTGGGTCTGTTACAAAGACAGCTCGCGAGGGCATCCAGCAGTTGTTTTATCCCTGCTGCTTGCATGGGAGCCTCTGTACTTTATGGCAGTGTTAATTCCAGGGAGTCCATAAAGGGAAGAACCTGTAATGAAAAGCCTTAAAATGGAGCTGGGTCTATTAAAACCAAGTGGTAACAATCAAGCAGTGAACCCGCTTGGGGAGCTGCTGCAGGCAGTGGGCTTGTGCCTTTGGCTGCATTGAAATGCTTCGCTTTGGTGTGGCACACTCTTCCTGTTGGGTGAGGGGGTGTCTGGGTGTTTTCCCCTCCTGCGTTCTATACTCAGCAGCTCTTGTTATCTTTGAAATTACCGGTTCTCTTTCTCTTTCTCTCTTTCTATTCCTCTGAATTCTCTGCTGCCCGCCTCTCTCCAGGAATACATCAGGCGACAGTTAGAGGAGGAACAGAGACAGTTAGAGATCTTGCAGCAGCAGCTACTGCATGAACAAGCTCTCCTTCTGGTAATGGGAAAGCCAAGAGCCAGCTGGTGTGCTCTGTGTTCATCCTGTGTGTGTGTGTGTGTGTGTGCGCGCGCGCGTGCGTGTGCGCCTTCCTCACGTGCCAGTCCAAGGCATCCTCCAAGCCTCATGAACCTCAAAAATCCCATTAAACTTAATACATTTCCTGACCCAATTTGCTGAGGCTAATACATTTAATGCAGTTGTTAGGAATTTGTGATTGAGTCCACCTATTTATGATACTTTCGCAGGAATCCAACCTTGTGATAAGTTCAGACCACTTTTGAGACCAGTGTGTTTATTGCAGAGTCATTTCTAGGGCCATTTGCAACATGCTGGAGTACAATCGCGCAGAATGCACCTCTGGCTTAACGCACTCAGCTCTGCAGTCATATTTCATTTGCAGACTATTTGCTTTGCCCTTACAGTGGGAACATTTTGTGTTCCCTGCTCATGCGGCTTCCACTTGAAGTACTTTATTATTATTTCACTGCTTGCCAAGTGGGCTTCTTGGTGTATCTTTAAAAAAAAATACTAAACTATTTATTTAATGGCATTCTGATAGTTTTTAGCCCGAATATGAGCTTGCTGAGGGCTTTTGTTTGTCCCAGTCTTATTGAACAAAATATGGTCTCAGCATTGTCTTTGTTAGTTTTCTACTTGATTACACAGAGTTAGGTGGCCTGATTACATAATCAGAAGCGGATGGCTCCTTAGGCGTGGTATGCTGACCACCCAAATGTCCTCATCATGGCCGTTTGCCCGGGTATAAGTCACTTTGCAAGTAGAGGTGTTTGGTGTAGAGTGCCATTAAGGCAATAGTGTGTTCATGAAGCGACATTCTTGCACAGATATGAACACAGGCTGTAGCTGATGTCTACAGCACATCCTGACGTCCTCCTGTCCTTCTGTTGGTGTTAAGGCCCTTTGTAAGTTAGCCTAATTTTCCCTCCAGTGCATGCTTAACTGGTACTGGCCAAGAGTTTCCATGTGGTAATTTGGCCTCTCCCTGGCTCTTCTTGCCTTGTCTGGACAGGAGTATAAGCGCAAACAGCTGGAAGAGCAGAGACAAGCAGAAAGGCTGCAGAGACAGCTAAAGCAGGAGAGGGACTACTTGGTTTCCCTTCAGCATCAGCGGCAGGAGCAGAGACCCGTGGAGAAGAAGCCACTGTACCATTACAAAGAAGGCATGAGTCCCAGTGAGAAGCCAGCATGGGCCAAGGAGGTAAGTGAGCAGGTGAAGCCAGGCCTGTTTGGCCAGGCCTTCGACTCCAGTGAGTTTGTCCACTAGAAGGGGACTGCTTCCAAGGTGGAAAACAGCCCGTCACTTACTTGGCTTTTGGAAGAACCATGATATTCTTTCTGTAGAGAAGTGACAAGGGACCTTACCACATTCGTGGTCCTTTTTGTGTGTCTCTTCAGAAGAATTTTCCTTCTCACAAGTCGAGGTGAATTTGTGGCATGAGGGTACCTCATGATCTGTCCTTGGGAGAGTGTGATTTGGGGTGTATGGAATTCTGCCCGTCCCTGGGCTCTGTGGCTGATCACAGTGTTGCTAACTCTGCCTGCGGTACCAGTGGACGTGCAGTAGACCTAAGACGCTCGGTTGTGATGCTTGCTTTCAGAATCAAAGGCCACGCGCATGTCTTTGGCACATACTTCCAAAGTGCTCATCCTTCATTGCTCAAGTAAGGGTGGGAGGAAGAAGGGTGATGACCAAATGGGTAGAGCAAACAAAATAACTGTAGCCAAGCCCAGCCCCCTTTCTGGGAGGCGCTGTGTCAGCTCCTGTACATACACCCTGGATTTGAGTTCTGTCATTATTTGGGATTTCCATCATTTTCCTGTGAGCATAGCTAGTCATTTAAAGGGATGTTTGGATTATTTTATATTTTTATCTAATATATTTATAGACATTTCTAGCTAGAGCTGTTTTCAAGTTATCTAGACTGCAAGATTGCCAGAACCAGATGTTTTACATGAAATCTGATTTTTATAAGAATGTTTCTTTGTTTTTCTATCGTATCTTACATATGTACAGAAAATGTTTGAAATGATATTCTCCTAGTGTTAATGAAGGTGGTCTATAGGAGGTAGAATTTTAAAAATTGACTGTTTCTTAAAAAATGCACTATATATATTTAATAATTGTATACTTTTAAGACTTAAAAAAAGTAAATCTATAAAGAAAATGTTTTGGGTTTAAGGTCAAGAACATTGTTATCACTTTCCCCTATAATCTGTAAACATGATCCATATTTACCTGTGTCTGTAATAGCTGCCTCTTTCTCTTAGATCAATAATTCAATTTTGTAATCCTACTCCCAGGTACAGCAACGACCCCTTAGTAATCCATCTGTTCTTCCAGCTAAGCAGAATCACTATGCTGTTAAACAGCAGCTGACATGCTTCCTGGCTGGCAGAGATGTGCCGCCTTCCTCCACTGCTAAGCCATTGTCTAGCCATGCCAAGTTGAAACCTTCAGCTAAGCCCGACCCTCAGCTCCTGAGCGTGGCAGGTGTTCAGAAACCTGAAAAACTAGCCTCTGCGAAGGCCATGCCGGTAGCACCTGCAGGAATCAGTGATTCCAGATCAAGACTCCTGGGTGAGCGTCACTCGCGGAAGCAAGATGGGCCAGCTCGTCCTATTAGACCTGTTTTGGACGAACAACTGAAGCCCCAGGAAACGTCAAGGACCACAGTGAGATCCCCAAAGCGATCTCGCTCGCAAGGATGTAGCCCAACTCGAGAGTTAGGATCTAAGGTCATTTGTGTGTCCTCCCCCAACATCTCCAAAGTGACGAGCCCCCAGCTGGCCCTCACTGCAGCTAAGGAGGGCCTCAGAGACTCGCGTGGCCCGCAGGACAGGAGGGGCGTAAGTTCATGCATCTCCACAAGTACCTCACCTCTTCTAAGAAGCGCTGCGTCACTAAGTGATCTCTGCGTGGTGCCTGACCACCCGGCCTTCAGTGGTGCCAGCCCCAGGCGTGATTTTAGAAAAGGGGCGCCTGCGGATGCCGCTGGAGAGGACCACGACTCCTTGCAAAGCATCCCAGCCATTCTTCTTTCCTCTGGGCTGCTCCCGCGTGCACACACACCCCCAAAAACGGGGGAAAGCCCGAAGCAGTGTCTGCTTCCCTCCTCCAGCCTCTGCCCAGCACGTTCCGATTGGAACTTGTCCACTTTGAATTCACTGATTTCTAGTTGCTATTTGTCCTCGTCACTCAATTTCCTGGCCTATCCTGTCTATTCAGAAGCAGTGCACAGCTCCCGAGCTTTCCGAAGCCCTGGCATCCCTGAGGGTAAATCTTTGCAGATGTCGTCCAAACAGTTTCCTAGACCACCTCCTCTGCCTCCTGGCCAGGCTCCTAGCGGTAACAGAAACGGAGCCGTTGGGCATGCAAACGACATGGCTGTGTCATCAAGCACTCCTGATGTGAGGGTCCCCGGCCACCATAAGTGTGGGCTGCCTCTGGTGGGTGACGTCTTGCGAGGTTCCTGGCTTCCTAGCAGCTGGCACTCCTTCTTTGAGCTTCATGCACTTCTACACATATGTAGGAGCCTTCTTTCACATTACATCCTCTCCTCCTGGGTGTGGTTAACAGAATCCAGCTGTGAACTAACCATCAGTGCACTCATGAAATGATTCCTAAGCCTTCGAGCGGGCGGTCATGTTTGAGAAGACAGATGAAACATGTAAATGGTAGGAGGAGTGGCAGTGCTATCTTTGGGATTGGAGCAATTGGTGTGCTAATAAGAACAAATAATTGTCTGCCTCGATTTGATTCATCATTTTTAACACCCACTTATTAAAACAGGAACAAAAATGAATGTGAGGATCCTTATCTTCTTGTCTTTCAGTGCTTCTCATCAGCAATGTATGAACTGTTCCTCTTCTGAACCACTGTTTACAGATCTCTTAAACCAGGGAGGGTGAGGGGGCTCAGAGCAGCCAAATAGTAACATGTTTCAAGACTTTAGGTAGGAATAGAATTCCTAGCTTATCAGTCTCTTAGCTAGCAACTGCTAAGCTGGGTTAAACTCTCTGCTGGTAGAATAAAAAGGTACCATTTTCTTTTTTCAAATGTATCCTCATCGGGATGTAAGCTTGAAAATATCCTCCCCAGGGAAGAGTGGGCAGCCTGTGTCACTGTGTCCTGTGATGCAGGGTCAGGATTTTCTGCCCCAGATGCCATGGAAGATACCACCCAGCTGTCTCCCTACCCCTTGCAACGTCTTCTGGAAGCTGCTCCACCACCTGTTTTCTAACTCCGCGCTCTACCGTCTTGTCAAGATGGGGCTTTTCCCCCCTTCTTTCATTACTTTCCCAACCATTTCTCTCCCTCACTCTAAACCAGCAGTTTTTCATCAGCGAAGTGATGTTACGCTTCATCCTCTGCGTTTTGATTTCTTCATTTTGTAAACCAGAAGTGATCGTGGCGTTTCTCATTATCTTTCTCATTAATATTTGTTGGGTGCAGTAAAGACAAATGGCAATGCTCAGTCATTTGCAAATCTTGTTCAAGGCTTCCCTCCCTCCTTTTCCTGCATGTTTTTCTTCTGTCCTGAAAGTCACATTGGCTTGACTTTTCCAGGTTTCAGCTGGAAAGGAACAATAGTGTCTGCATTAAAAGGACAGACTCTGCTGCTCTTTATGTCTGCCATCTCTGGATTGGAATGGAAGTCAGATTTGCTTTGTAAAGGACCGATGGAATTTGAAAGTCCTTTTTCCCCCTCACTTTTTAAATGCTGGAAGTTCCTTTTTTTCTTTCCCCTATTACTCAAAATGGCATGTGATTATCAGGGCCTGGCATTAACTTTGTGGCCACCCCCTACTAACCCCCCACATACTTAAAAATTGTTTTGCACCAACATGCAGTAGTGACAGGATGCTCTAATGCCCTGTTTACACAAGTGTTGCATGAGACTGTGTTTTGATTTCTGTGACACCCCATCCTGTTCTCTGATGCATGCTCGTCATCTGGCCATAGTTCTAAACGATGATCTGTTCAGGGCCACAATACTTCTTTGTTTCCCATCAGCCTTTTGGATTCTAAAATCCTGCGAATAAAGACTTCTCTACTTGGATTTTTTTTTAAAGATTTATTTATTTGCTTGAAAGGCAGAGTTACAGGGTCAGGAGGTGGGGGGGGGGGGTGGGTGGGAAAGATCTTCCATCTGCTGGTTCACTCCCCTAATGACCACAATGGCTGGAGCTGGGCCAATCGGAAGCCAGTAGCACCCACATGGGTGCAGGGGCCCAAGCACTTGGGCCATTTTCCACTGCTTTCCCAGGTGTGTTAGCAGGGAGCTGGATCAGAATTAGAGCAGCCAGGAGTTGAACTGTTGCCCATATTGGATTCCAGCACTGTAGGTGGTGGCTTTACCCACAATGCCACAGCACTTGTCCTTCCACAGTGTTCTACATGTGAGTTGTTTTTTATATGAGCTACTTTATATTTGAGATTCCCAGATTATCTTTTCTTTAAAGCTCTGTTCCCATCTCTCCTCATTTTCTACTTGCTTTGCTTACGATTTAACATAGAGAGACCTGGATGGAAACAGGAAGGAGTGTGCTTGAGGTCAGGTTCTTTGACTATGTGGCCTGGGGAAAGTTGTCTCACTTTGCTGAGATGCAGCTTGTCATCTGCACTTCCTGCCTCACAATTAGGAGGACCGGGGGCAATAATGTATTGCAATGCATGTGACATTTAAACTGTGAGCACTGGACAAATGTAAATGAAATACACATATAATATTCAGCATATTCATTTTTGTTCCCAAGGCCATTATAGCTTACAGTGAGCATTTTGCCTCTGTTGTTTGTTTCTTTCATTTTTAAAAGATTTACTTGTTTATTTGAAAGTCAGTGCTACAGAGAAGGAGGGATGAGAGAGAGGTCTTCCATCTGCTGGTCCACTCCCCAGATGGCCGAAATGGCCAGGGTTGGGCCAAACCAAAGCCAGGAGCTTCATCCAGGTTTCCCACGTGGGTGGGAGGGGTCCAAACACTTGGGCAGTTTTCCACAGCTGTTCCTATGTCATTAGCAGGGAGCTAGATTGGAAGTGGAGCTGCTGACACATGAACCAGCCCCCATATTGGATGCTGGCACCGCAGGTGGTAACTTTACCTGCTTCGCCACAATACAAGCCCTGCCTCTGTTCTTTCTGACTTGGATTTCACATTAAGCAGTTCATGTTCATCTCCCGTGTCCTCATCTATCTCTCCCCAGTGATAGCCAAGCACTTCTTCATTTCCCATCTCAGCTTGCTAATAATTTGTTCCATTACTTTTAAAATGTGTGCTCTTGGGAATCTATATTTTTTCCAGGAGTACTGATTAGGAAAGGATCTTGGAAAAAGTGTCCGGGCCCTGGCTTCACACAGATCACCTTCTAAACATTCTGTATGAACAAGAGTCTCTTTTGTGCTCAAAGGTACCCCTGAGAGCCGGTGTCCCCCATCTTGCTCAATAACCATCTGCCCATGCAATTCTACCAAGACTAAATGACTCAACTCTTCATGTGCCCAGTGAGTACAGGGTAAAGCAACTAATGAGCACTTAGAAGTTACTTATTGACTCTTTCCTTTTATCCAGAATTTCCAGTGAAACAAAAATCAAACTATGTTCAATTTGGAAGAAAAACAGGAATTCCCACATGATTATGTCTAGCTCACCACATACTAGCCATTCAGTGAGGCCTTCTCAGGCCTACAAAGACCAACATCCTATAAAAGATTATTGGGATGCACTCATATAGTATATAAGAGTGTGCTTCAAAATGTTCATGGAAACTGAAGTTAAAAGATTATTTTGATGCAAAAAATTTGAAATCCTTGCATATGTGTTCTATAAAAAGTTCATGGAAAATGTATTATAAAAACTGCATGGGTTTCAAACTTCTTTGCACCCTCTCCCAAAAAAAACCTTGCTTTTAATTCCATTTTCCATCATCTTTCTGAAGCACCCTCATACTTTTTCTGTCACCAGTTCTGAAAATACTTCGATAATTTTGTTTTGAAATTCTTTCTCAGTAGCTACTCATCACTGTGAAGTGAGACGTTGTAACCTACATATTGTTTTCAAGTGTACCAAACAGTTTGACAGTTGATGTTGAGAAAGTGTTTGCCCTTATACATGTTTAAACATTCTTATCTACTTCAAATTTCTTTTGGAAATCTTGCAGTCAACAAAATTATTTTTAGATCTCCTAGATTTGCTGTAGCCTTTATCCATCTCCGAGTCCCCCAGCAGGACTCCTGTACTGCCCAGTGGATGATACAACCTCACCTGGACTTTTATTTCTGAAACAGTTATTTTCATTTTTAATTTCTCCATATAATGCTATAGGAAATAGGATAGCATTTTTGAAGGGGTGATCTAAACCTCTACAAAGTTATTTTAGTTTTCATGTTTAAAGGAGCCTTCTAATAAGAAAAAAAATGTTTTTGTAGCGAAATTGATCAATCTCTGCCATTCTTGTCCTCTGGATTCACTGATAATTCCTTCAACTCTGAAATCCTGTATCTTTTGTTCTCACTCTCAGATCTCTCCTGTTCAGTTAGTAGACCTAAGTTGTGACTCGGCACGGGACAGACCTCTGTCTGGTATCACAATAATCGGAAGGGATCACTCTGCCATGCACTATCCAGCTTTCCCTGTGTAGCGCCACATCTGTGTTTGGTTTGACATTTCTGCTCACTAGTTAAGATGACCCTTTGGTGAAAAAGCACTTGGGCAGTATTATCTTCCTAGGGTTTAATACAAGATTTTCTTGAGACAAAATATGTAGCCGGGTACTTCATTGTTACAACCTTTTCATAGATTTTTTTTCTGATTTCTTTTTCATTTGAAAGAGACAGAGTTAGGTCTTCCTTTCGCTGGTTCACTCCCCATTTGCCTCCAACAGCCAGCTCGGCCAGGCCAAAGCCAGGAGCTGAGAATTCAATCCAGGTCTCCCACGTGGGTGGCAGGGACCCGGGAATTTGAGCCGTCACCTGCTATCTCCCAGGGAATACGTTAGCAGGAAGTTGGAACTGAAAATAGAGCGAGGACTCCAGGCAAACCCAGGCACTCTAGTGTGGGGTGTGGTCATCCCAAGTTTGTGTCTCAACCACTGTCCCAGACTCCCACCCCAGATTTTCAGATTTCTTCAAACAAACTCCAATCCAGGAAATTTCAACTTTGCACCCATCTGGAAATAATTTGCAAAATATATCAAGCAGTTATTTATACTGTGTATTTTAAAATGCTGTAGACTGAAGCATACTAGTGGTAGGACTTAGTATGTAAACTGTTAGAAAGCACACACCATTTTGTGAGTATAGATGAATAACATATATAGATGACTAACCAAACCTGTTCACTGCCTGTGAAAATCGGCACTCTGCATTCTGTCTGGTTCATTTCCAATGCTAGCTTTAGGGACCTGTGTGGCCTGTGGTCCTTTTAGCCAGGGATACTGGCCTGATGGGAACCTTGTTGCTGTGAGTTGAAAATAGAATTCTTTATTTCAAAAATGGTTTCTTTGTTCCAGATGGAGTCTTTGGAGCAGACTTTTCTACTGGTCCTTTCAGGGTGCTGTTTCAATGTGTATTAAAACAATGTGTATCAAATCAATAATAATTACAAGTATTCCCCACTTTGAGTATACAAGGCTCTTCAAAAAGTTCGTGGGAAATGCATATGATGAAAAAAATATGCATGGATTTAAAAATTGGCATCAAAATGAACTTTTAATACCATTTTCCATGACCTTTTTGAAGTACCCTTGTATTTGGTTCTTGAATTTGGGATGATATGTGGCTAGAATTTAGACAGCCAGCTATCTTTATAATGATGTGTCTGAGTCTCATGGGTTCTTGATCTCAAAGAGCAATGGTTTGGATAGTGGGAGTTCGGATAGTGTAGGGTACTTGAACATGTGAGTGATCTATTCAGCGTATTCCCTGGAAATAAGAAAACTGCTTTTTTTAACAATTTCAGTGGTTTAAAACGTTCACTTTCTTTCAAAGAGTTTGGCATTTGGAAAGCAGTCTGTGGCATGCTTTGGGCTCAGTTTATTGCTGTCTTGATGGGACTTCTTCTTTGTGGTCTTATCTCAAAGTTGGGTTTGTTCTTTTGCTCAATGCAGTGGCCAAAGTATTGCTGATGAAATACTTTGCATATATGCATACACACAGCAGTAAACATGTGCCTGCTTATTTTTTCTGCCTTTTTGCTGCTACTCTTACTTGGTTTGTGGTGAGCTTCTGGGACATGGAATTTCAAAACCTAAGTCAACTGGATGCCAATTGTACGTACCCTGCACAGCCATGGTGGGAAAGATGATCACATTACCCCTCCATAGAGGCAAGAGGGCTGTTTTCGATTCTGGAGCTTATTTTACCATGTTAAAATATTTTGGACCAACATGACAGCTTTAAAACAGCCTGGTTCTATATATGAGAATGAGTCTGCCTCTAGGAAGATTCAAAATGGGGTGGAGGGATGAAAAAGATTAGCTCTTCTGGATTTGTATTTCAAATCAGCCAGGAAGATTCATAACCACTACATAAAATATGCAGACAAGAATATTGAGTCCCTACACTTGGCTCTTTCAACATTCAGTGAGTAAGAGGTCACTCTGAAGGTTCTTCTGTGTAGGGAGGACAGCACTATTGCCCTGGGGTTTGGGGAGCACAATGTCCATTTGACCCAAAAGAGAGGGCAGGATCAGATGGAGCTGAAGAAAATTCCTAGACCTTTCTGAGTTGTCTAAGATCATAACAGAATATTGTGCCGTGTACATCTTGTCTATCAAAATTTCCCTCTGAGCTAGGCCTCAGCAGCAGGGTGTCTGATGTAAATAAGCCCCAAGAGTCACCCCCACCTGTTAACAAAGGGCACTCACTGGTAACTGAGCCTTCCCTATGAAGTGCTTGGGATATGTTATCTGGTGCGGGCTGAGAGACTGAAAGAAGGGGAATGACAAGGACTGGGAGAGGAAAGGATTGGAGGGGTGGGGAAGGAGGGCTGCAAGAATGAACAGCACATAAGGATAGGTAGGGCAGGAGGGAGTAGGGGTGGGTAGGCAGTGGAGTCCAAGCTGATGTGGAAAAAATAAGGAGGAGCCATTTATTTGGGGGGGGGGGCGCAGAGAGAGATGAAAAGAAAGAGCCCTAAAGAGAGAAAGGAAAATGATAGAGAAAGTTAGCTTAAGACAGGCCTTGCTCATTAAGCTGGCAGCCTGGTCCACCCACTTGCCTACCTTCAGGGCCCGGAAAGGAATCGGGGCTCACACACTCAAGTTCATCCTTCTCAGCCCTCCCCAGTGCACTTCCCCTCCATGTCCCTTGAGTCAACCTAAAGCCATTTTCTTCTTTCCCCAAGCAAATTCAATGCCTACTACAGTTGCCCTGGATTAACTAAGGTGCCAGTTGACTCCCTCACTGACCACAAAGCTCTATGGTCAATCTGCCAGGTGATATTCCAGTCAATGGAAGATAGCACCTCTTAAGCAGATCCCAAATTCTCCACCAACTGAAATAACTCAGGATGATGGGTAATGGAAGAGTGGCAGCTGGGGTGTTCTGCATTTTTGTTGTTGTTATTGCCAGTGTTGGCTCCTTTAGGAAAGAGCTGTTTGCAAATTATTGATGCAGAGCAGAAAATGAGATATTTGACTCTGAATTGACCAAAGGGACACAAAAATGGCTGTGCAGGTGACTACAGAAAGTGTTTTTTAGAAAATAAATCAACTCCTATCCATTGAGGCTGTCTGTTCTTTTGACTTCCAGGTAGAAGAACGGTCAAGGCTTAACCGGCAGAGTTCACCTGCCATGCCTCACAAGGTTGCCAACAGAATATCTGACCCCAACCTGCCCCCAAGGTCGGAATCCTTCAGCATTAGTGGGGTTCAGCCTGCTCGGACACCCCCCATGCTTAGACCAGTGGATCCCCAGGTATAATCCTTTTATTTCACTTGGCAATAAGAGTATACAATAAATGCTATTAATATCCCAGAGAATGGTAACATGGATTCTGGCATAGGAACAATGAAATTATGACTCTTGATACAGAATTTACATAGAAGGCCCCAGTGAATTTTAGGGGTTAAAGAAAGAGTAAGAAAGAAAAGAGCATCACATGTAAGCTTTGAGTCAACCCAAAATGACTTCTTGGTAAACTGGCCTTTCTGAGAGCCATGGAAGCTTCTGCAGGATGAGGACAAGCATCCTTTTAGGTATGAGTACCAGACTCAAATTCCTGGAGATCTTGGCGGCATACTGTATACGTACATATATAAGCTTTTGTTCCTTGGGGTCCTGGCGTGAGCCTGAAATGAGAAAAATTCAATGGACTTGGTTAAGCACAGTTGTCTTTTGAGCCAGTGCTTCTCAAAGTGTGGTCACACAGAGCAGCAACAGCAGCAGCCAGAAATTTGGTAGGAAGACTGACTGAACACCATCCACACGCCAGACCCTGAGCCGGACTCAGAGATCCAGTGATGAGCATTGTAGATGCAGGTCCAGTCTTCAAGGAGCTTACGTTCCCCACAGCAGAGGAGACAAGCTTCAAGCAGGACTAACCAAATGTGGGCAGTGCTAGGGCAAAACGGGTACTTTGGACTCTGGGTCTTGCTGATTTGTCTCAAATGGCCACAGTTTCCCTAAAAGACTATGTGTCTTCCCTACATGGACAGTCTCATCACATGTCCAATTGTGGGGCTTATGGCTCTACAAGAAATTTCCTGGTATCAGGAGATATATAATCCCCCAGATGGTAAGCACCAGTACAACGGAAACCAGGATTTTATAGAGGTTAGTCCTATAGGCCACCAGTGTAGAATGCTAGGTCCCATTTTAGCCTCCAGCACATATTAGCTGTAAAAACTAGGGTATCTTAGGTTGCTTTTGTGTGTACAGTGTGGGAAATGGTTGTGTCCACCTCGTGGTGGACTCAGTGAATCCCTAACAAGTGAGATCTTTGGCACAGTTCTCATTTTACGGAGCAAGAGCACTCTCTAAAGCCAAGTTAAGGATTTCAAAGGAGGAAGTTTGTAATATTGGAAGGGAAGTGCTTGTAAAAGATATTGTGTTCTTGGTACGTGAATGGGCACCAAATATAGTTCTTGTTATTATCATCACACTGTTCTACGAAGTTCTTGGCAGTCCAAGTAAGCCATTTAACTTGTTGCGGGGACCCCAGTTCAGCCCTACCTGTCACTCTAGACAGAAAATTTTGAAGAGCTGTTAAAAGCATACTTGTGGTCAGCTGTGATAGAATCTCTCCAGTCCACTTCTTGTGCCCTAGAACTTTCTCTTCCCTTCACCTGATAGAGGTGGTACTGGCCTGTTTTTTTTTTTTGTTTTGTTTTGTTTTGTTTTGTTTTTTTCCCCTCCTAATAATCCTCCTCTAATGTTGGCTTGTGCTTAGATCCCTCATCTGGTAGCTGTGAAATCCCAGGGACCTGCTTTGACCGCCTCCCAGTCAGTGCATGAGCAGCCCACCAAGGGCCTGTCTGGGTTTCAGGAGGCTCTGAGCGTGACCTCTCACCGCGTGGAGATGCCGCGCCAGAACTCAGATCCCACCTCTGAAAACCCGCCTCTCCCGACGCGAATCGAAAAGTTTGACCGAAGTTCTTGGTTACGACAGGAGGAAGACATTCCACCAAAGGTAACAGTAGGGACGTTTTTGCATTGCCATCACCATTGCCATCACCGTTGTCATCACTGACCACTCTTGTGGTCACTGCGCCAGGCCTTTTGCAGCCGTGGAGAAGGTAAAGATGCCAAAGCACCTTTACTTCTCATGTTTGTCTTGGTGCCCCTTTATTCCTACACTAAAATTTGCATTGTCAGCTTTTCTAACCATCATTTTCCCTATAATTAAATCTTGGGGAGGCTGAATGACTACTAAGTATATATTCTGTGTTTAGCACCGGAACTCTCAACACTAAGCATTTCAAACTTATTATCTACAGCAAGAAGTAGAATAATGGATTTTTTAATGGATGACTTAATCTATGTCTGGGCAAATTGAAAACTTCCAGATAAAAGATAGAAAATCTATTTCTATTTTGATCAGAAAATCAGATTTCAGAGAGTCAGAAGATAGTGTTATTCTTAGGATATTTTAGTTGGCCCCATTGAAGGAAAGCTCCTTGTAGGCCAGGTTGTAATTTAATTCCAGTCTTAATCAGTTATTGTGGATAAAATTTCAGGGTCAAATGATCAGCCATCCCACTGGATAGAACATTCTTGAGTTCGGGTCTTTTTTTTTCTGTTGTTCTGAGATGTCCTAGCATGTGTCTGGGCACCTGGCTACAGACAGTCTGGAAGTATTTCAAAATACCAGAGACATGTTTACACTGGATTCTTCCTGGTTTAGCAATCTCCCTTCTCATTAGTTCAGCATAAAGGCTGTGACAAATGGGATGTTCTGTGATTTCCAGAAAGCAATGCCATTGTTGATTCCAGAAAAAAGTTTTTGATGGCTTAATTAGTATTTTTCTTTATACTCTTCTCAGGAAGGTGTTGTAACAGGAGTTCCATTATTTGAAAATGAAAGCCACTAATAGCTTGTCTTATTAATATTTTCTTCCTATAGAAGCAGAAATGCCATCAGAAGAGATTATTAGGGAGCAAAGTTCAACAGGGAGAGTAAGGTAGGCAGAGGAGCAGACACCATGCTAGAACTGAAATGGGAAGTCATTAGTCTACTTTCTGAAAACAGGCAGGCATATATTGGTAGAGCAGGGAGAAAATTTTAGATCAAATGTAAGATTTAGGTTTTAATAATTCATGAGACTCTTTCTTCCCAACTATTTGTTTACAAAAATAAAAAGGAAAAATAGAAGTGGTAATATTTAATTAGAATCGGTGGTAGAACTCATTTGGTCATTTTTGCTTCACTGACTCATCTTTACATTAAAATGAATTATAATAAAAATTTTTCAAAGTAGACAAAGGATGGCACTTAACACTGGAGATAATTTTCTGTGCTGAAATTCATCATATGATTCTTTTAAAAGAATAGACAGTTTTGGCACAGTTATAATGTTTGATTTTATTAAAAAGTCTGTATATTTTCTAAAATGAGGCTTATTGAATTCTACTTAAGGCTCTTGCCAGATAAGCTAAAATAGATTCCTACTGCACTTCACAAACAAATTGTTACCCCCATAATCTTTTTGAAACCCTTCCAGTTTTTTTAGCGTTAGTCTTGAATTAATCTTGAATCCTGAATCCTATTTGGGACTGTGCTTACTAATTGACCTTCCACTGCATAGGTGATTTGAAGTTCGGATTTTAATTACTAATTTCAGGTTAACTAGGAGGTAGAAACATTCACAATCTACTGTGGTATGTTCCCTGAAGTTCTAAGCTGACATCCTAGTTTCACTCTAGATTTTTGCCATTTCTTTATCTGCTTACTAGTTGTTATATGAGCTAAAAATGGAAGTTGGCTTGAGCTGGGTGGCTACTATCAGATCCAATGAATTAAGAGCACCCTAATGAAATTCCTGGTGTCTACCACTGTTGCCCAAACAAAAGAGGCCAATTATTTTTAGCCCAGTGAATCCAAATTTTACCGTAGTCTGTGTTTACGGTATTTTTAAGACTGAGAATGTCCCTTTCTCTGGTTGTTGATTGTGTCTTACTGCCTTTTGCTAGCAGACTCTTACTTGGTTTTGTTTAGGGAGTTAAACATTTCTGTGAAAAATACAAGACATTCCTCCTGCCCCGCCCCATTTCAGATAGTTTCTGAACTTCCTTGGAAATCGTTGAAAAGGGTAAGATTTTCAGAGACCAGCCTGTAGAAACTACTTTGTGGGAAATATTTCTGAGTTCTGGTTTTCTTCCAGGTGCCTCAAAGAACTACTTCTATATCCCCAGCGTTAGCCAGAAAGAATTCTCCTGGGAATGGTAGTGCTCTGGGACCCAGACTAGGATCTCAGCCCATCAGAGCAAGGTAAGGGAAGGAATGTGGTGACAGTGAAGGAAAAAGCCCACTCACTGTTGCCATCACTGCTTTCCTTAAAAATGGCTGTGTTCTTTTCACTGAAAGGCAGGTTGACTTGCCACCTGGACTGTGTATTTTGATGGGCCAGATACGTGCCTTTTATTTCTTCAAAAACTTTTCACACAAATCACCATACCACTGTGTGTGTGGAGGTGGGGGTGCTCAGGAATGAATGAATGAAGCAACCCAGAAACCAGTGCAGTGTACCTTAATAGTTTTTAAAATCTGGGAGTAAAATTACAAATACAAGTCTGGGTGTAATATCTCAAACCGATAATTATTTCAGAGGCCATGTTATGGAGGGAAAAAATTGGCCTATTTTGAATTGATTTTCAATATCCGGTCAAGAAGTATGCTCTACGAACCACTGAGACTTCGCAAGTATTTGCTAAGGAGATAATGACCAACTGCAGAGCATAAAATTACAGAAGAACCAGCTTTGGAGAGGAAACCACCTTATTGGTCACTGAAATAGGAGGGCATTTGAAAGATGTTATTTTAGTGCAAAAAAACTTGAAATTCATGCATAGTTTTTTCACATTAAGAATTTTCCAAGAACTTTTTTAAAGTTATTTTTATTATTATTATTAATTTGAAAGGCAGAGTTACAGAGAGAGGAGGAGACACAGAGAGGTCTTCCATCTACTGGTTCATCCCTGAGGCCAGGGCTGGGCCAGCCCAAAGCCAGAAACCCAGGCTTCTTCTGAGTCTCCTATATGGATCCTGGGGACAAGCACTTGGGCTATCTTCTGCTGCCTTCCTAGGCACATTAGCAGAGAGCTGGATTGGAAGTGGAGAAGCTGGGACTCAAACTGGTGCCCATATGGTATGCCTGCATCACAGGCAGAGGCTTAACCTGCTACACAACAATGCTGGCCCCATCTGTGAACTTCCTGAAGGCCCTTCATATAGCTTCCACTGTTGTTTTTCCAGAATTTTCCATCGATAATGTATGTTTCTACAGTGAGGAAGTTGCTCCCACTTCTACTGGTTGCTGTTGAGGTCTCAAAACTGGGAGGAAACAAGATCTCTACAGTCTCCCAGCGGATTTTTATGTGGCAACAGATGCTATTTGTTGCTGTAGTTCATCAAGCTTCCCTCAGATTTTTCATGATGAATACATCCCGTTTTAGGATTAGCAGAAATAGCAAATGGCCTCTGCCGAGGCTATAAAAAGGATGTGAGCTTGGGCAGGCTGTTTTCTTTTCCTTCATTGTGTTCATAATAAGACAAGGACCCCCCTTTCTAGTACAAGAAAGACTGCAAATGAAGCTTATGATTATTTGTACATCTCTTTAAAATGTGGAATGCTTTTGATCATAAAGCTTTCATTTTCTTTTTGACATGGAAAGCCTTGGGAAGAGGTCAGTCCATAAATAATATGCAACTATACTAAGAACACGAGTTCCTTTAGGGCAAAGATGCCGGTCCATTCCGAGTGGAACTACCAAAGGCAGGAGGCTCTGAATGAGCCATTTTTCCCCAATGACTTGTCAGACTCACACTGAGCTGGTGTTGCTAAGCTGTTCTAGGCCTGGAACGTGCTGTGACCAGGCAGCCAGAGGAAGGACAGCATCGGATTGCCTGAACTTTATCAGTCCTCCTCTTAGGCGGCAGTAAGTCCCCAATTATCAGTGCTTTTTGCTCCTTTGAACCCTGCCCTCGGGGCTCTGTTCATTGGATCACTTGCTCAGTATTTTAGTGGCTTTAGATCAAGCATTATTTCAAACTTACTTTTTTTTCCTGTCAACCAAAAAAGAGTGAGCTACCATTATGCAGTCAGACAAAAAGCAGCTTTTTGTTCCTTCTTAAGTGCTACTTTAATGGCATTGAAGCCTAAAATAATTGGTATTTGATGGTCAGTGGCTTACAAAGTATGAGCCCCTTAGAACCATTTAAATACCATACCTTGCCCAAAGAACGCAGACTTTGTGGGAGACGGCTAACATTTTTCTACTTCAGAGGTAGAGAAGAAGTGAGCAAAAAGATCTTAATGATTTTGGTACAGAGAATCCCCATGTTGTAGGCGGGACACTCCTTCAGCACACCTGCTTCTTGTCTGGCGTGACCCACACTTAAGTCATAAATCAGAGTTTACAGCTCTAATGGGATTGCCGTGTTAAAGCCTCAAGATCTAGTTTATTTCCTGTGATAAGGGTAGCTTTTGTTCACCTAATTAGCCCACCCAGTACTTAGTGGCCTGAAATATAACTGCTGCTTGCATTTCAGGATTCTGGGAGGCCACTAAGAAGTCCATCTGCTGATCTTGCCGGGGTTTGCTCGTGCAGCTGCTGGGTCCCCTGTACCTCTTGTTCCATCCTCAGGGTCTTTAACGCGGGGCTTCCTCCTCCTTTGGTGATGGCAGGAAAGCATTTTAAGAGGAAAACATGTCCCATGGCCACTGCAAGTCGAATGCTCAACCCCTGAGTCCATTGGAAGGGAGCTATGCAGGGCGTGGGCACTACGCGATGCGAGTTGGCTAGGGGCCATCGCTGTGACGCACAGCCTCCCCTACTCTTCTGGGTCTCATGAAGTCCTTTTTGTACCATTTGTCAGACAAGCAGCCATTCACAAAGCTCTTAAGAAAAGGGCTGCTTTTAAATAAGTCACACTTCACATGCTTCTGGGCTATACTTCTGTACTTGGTCAATGTTCTCTTTCTTTCCTCCTTTTCTTTGAAATAGTTCTCAAGGGCGTCTAGAAAATTAACAAAGTCGGAATGGATTGCAAACAAAATTACATAACTAATGAGGGACAGATTCAGGAAGTTTCATTATTTTTAATTCATTTGCTGAAGTCAGCAGATAAACATGAAAGGCCCACTAAATGCAGAACTGCACGTGACTGGGAGCCAGTGACTGCAACCCAGGCTGCCCGACTCCAAGGCCCATGAGTCATACTAGACCTGCTAGTCCTTAGGGCTGAAGGGCCAATATTCTTTTTCCTGTCTCACTGTTTTACTTTTGGGAGAATATATCAATTAAGGTGGAGCCTCTTTTCCCCTTTTGTGGCACATGAGGGATCCCAAATTTAAGATAATAGCATCTCAACATGGAAGGAATTTGGGTATCCAACTCACTACTTGGAGAACTATCAAGAAGAGCAGTTCCAGCTATGTGCATTATATGTGAAAACTAAATCGTTGTTGTGCTAAGTCAATAATAATAAAAAAAAGATCCAGAGCCTCGTGGATAAAAAACTCAGTTTTTCCTTTTTGCATTAGTACTCACAATGTTAGATAAATGCAGAATGTATGATTTCTTTTTTTGAAAGTTTGGGAAACATTATTTAAATGCATAAGCTCTTGAGAAGACTCCAGGTCAAATGTGTGGCATGCAAGCAGGTTCCTGTAACATGAGGAAAAAAGCAAAGCTTTGCTGGTGTGAATACTTATCCTTTTCCCCAACAAAACTGATAAGTTCCTCTTCTGTCTACACATACCACACCAAACCAAGAAGAGCCCCATCGCCAGTTGTTTGTAAATACATGCAGCATTGAGCATGCACAGCTGTGCAGCATCAGCTGGTCAAGAACGTGTTACAGAGCCACCCCTGCAGTGCCCTGCCTTCTGCTGGGCTCAGGCAATTTCTTACTGAATTGTTTAGTAAATAGTCCTGGAGTGGCATACTGTTGTTCTAAGTGCATTGCAAATATTAACTAATTTAAGCCATAAGCACTCTGTGAGGTGGTGACTATACGCGTTCCCATTTCATAGCTGGAGAAATTAAGGGAAACAGAAGTTAAGCAAGTTGACCAAGGTGACAAATTTAATTAAGTGGGAGAGCTGAGATTTGCGTGCTGGTAGACTTACACCAAAGTCTGCACTTCTCAGCACCATTCCCTGCTAGCCTGTTTAGTGTGCATTGGTGTGGTGTTTTCCCAAGGGAGATGGACCCTCCGTTCCTTGAGGGACATGGCACCATTTTGTTTCCAGCTTTCTGACCATGCGGTGTAGTGAGTCAGTGAAGATTAAGATTATTGCTCCTAATCCAGCGATATGCACCACCCTTCAAAAGTCAGCGTGCTAGGCCGGCGCCGCGGCTCACTAGGCTAATCCTCCGCCTTGCGGCGCCGGCACACCGGGTTCTAGTCCCGGTCGGGGCGCCGGATTCTGTCCCGGTTGCCCCTCTTCCAGGCCAGCCCTCTGCTGTGGCCAGGGAGTGCAGTGGAGGATGGCCCAGGTGCTTGGGCCCTGCACCCCATGGGAGACCAGGAAAAGCACCTGGCTCCTGGCTCCTGCCATCGGATCAGCGCGGTGCGCCGGCCGCAGCGCGCTGGCCGCGGCGGCCATTGGAGGGTGAACCAACGGCAAAAGGAAGACCTTTCTCTCTGTCTCTCTCTCTCACTGTCCACTCTGCCTGTCAAAAAAAAAAAAAAAAGTCAGCGTGCTGCAGGACACACCTCTGAAACATCTTCCCACCCTAGATGGAACTCACGTCATCGCATGCTTTGTCTGGCTCCCTTCCTAGATGGCTAAAGTCTGGATGATAAGACGATCACCATGAGCCCTGGCAGTGGCTGCCTGCCCGCCCTTTGTGCATATACAGCTGGGCATTGCGCAGGCTGTAGAATCGATGGGGACTTCTCACCTGTTGTTTTCACTCCCAGAGGCCTTATGCACTCAAGGTGATCAGTTGAGTTTAAAAAAGATTTGATTAGATCATTGTAAGCCATTTCTTTGAAATCCCAAGCACTTTTATATTTAACTATGATTCGTGTGTGCTTTTAAAGCAAATTAAACCATGATCAAACAAGCACATCTGAAATACGGAAAGATTTAAATGAAGCCAGAAACACCCAGTGAAAACTCAGGGACTTAAATACAAACCTATCTTCCTATGGCTCGTTTGCTCTCATTGGCTGTGTTGTCAGGAACAAAGTAAAGTGAATTTTGGCAGTCACCCAGTTAATTATAGACTTGGCCCAAGTATTTGAGCCACAAAATCACTTTGTAATCCTAATTTTCCCTTTTGACTTTTCATGTGATTCAAGTTGATGGACTAATGGCCCCGTTTTTACTTGACTGCATGTTTTACAGACCAAACAGGCTTGCTGCTTGATGGTAGTTGTCTGAATTAAAAGTTAGCATTTATAGAAATCTATTTGGATGTTTCCAAGCTTTACACATTTGGATCTGAGTAGGTTCAGTTAATATGTGAACAAGGGAAATCGATCATTTAATGGAATCCTTCTGAAGTTGATCCTCTTTAAAAGCATTTCTCAGCCCCCTTTGGTCCAAGGCCAGACCATGCAGATATATAATAAGAGAAAAATGTGAACAGTAGGAAATTTTCTCGAAATACTCATATTTTATCAGTAACAATAATAATAATCTAGAACAGACATCATAAAGTTTTCGCTGTTCCTGTGAGTGGCTACAGAGAAACGTAAGCACTTCTTCGATCTCCAGCAGCAAAAATAGCAATGTATTAAGATCAGCAGCTGTGCTGGTTTGCTCCAGTGGGGAGGACTTGTGCTAATGAGGCCCTGGTCAAGGATTTAATGCCCTTGGGACCCAATTAGCTTCACACAGGAGGCTCCGAGCCCAGTCAGAGCCATGTGCTCATCCCAGCCAAGGCCTCTGCTTCTCTTTTATACTAGGACAAGCCCAGCCCAGGCCTCCTCATCCTGCTGTCTGGGCTCCCTGCCTCACACTGGGCCAGTCATTTATAAGCCTGGCAAGGGAGGTCCACATCCTGAGCCAGGTTACAAAGCCATGGCTGCACAACCAGACCTTTCCTTCTGATCACCCATTCTCACAGTGCTTCCTGATACCCCTGGGTCTCAATCTCGCTGGTGTCCTGTCCACATCCATGTGCACAAGGAAAACCTCAGTCCGCTGTCTCAGCCTTACTGCTCTACAGCCCTACTAAGTCCTGTCTTCCTCCTAACCTGTCCTCGACATGTCCAGTATGCATGAATGGTTCCCTAAACTCCGAAAATCTTACAATCACTTTCACACAACACAGAGGCCACCACTTCACTGCTGTGTCTACAGCACTTCTCTCAGCTCTGCGTTTGTGTTGTAACACGACTGCCTGCCTTGTGCCCCATCACTTGTCTTGATCCAGCCAGTCTCACAAGTAAGGGGCTTATTAGAAAGGTTTGAGTCAAATCACCAAAGGAGTGCTGCATTAGAGCAAAGAGCTAGATTCTGCTGCCACCCATCACCCCCCGAAGAAAACACCTCGGATCATCGATCACCAGCCACCCTACTCGCGAGAGACCTTTTCATTTTAATACAAAGAACACTGCGTTGCCATTCCACCACAGGAAGAGCAACACCAAGAAACAGCAATATGCCCATCACTCTTAATCTGCAGTACAGTTGGTTAGCAATCCATTTCCCGGAATACATGCTTTTGGAATTTATTATGCATAATTCTTGATCACTACTGTTAAATAAGAGAGAGGCAGTGGGGCAAATTCATTATTTATGATTTAAAGGAGATGGGAGTACGTCTTTCTGAACAATAGAAAAGTTAGTGTTTCAGAAATACCACACATGTATCATTTGCAGCATTTTCAAATTAAGGGTATTTCCAATATGGATCCTAATCATTTCAATCAACTAGATGCAAACAATTTTCACAAAAATACTTGAGACACAAAGGAGTGGCCACTACAATAGCCAGCATTTTTGAAGTTTTCTTTAAGTTTACCAATACTTAGTTACTCTGCAATTGATGCTACTAGGTTGACTTAGTAGCCCCTTTACCATAAAACCTGCAAAGATAAATATAAGTCCTACATTTACATGACAAAAAATAAATTATGAGAACATATTTATTTTTACATAGTTTTCCACTGATGTTTTCCAGGGTTACAAGCCATCTATACCAAATCAAACTTTTCTGGCTAATCTATTACCACAAAGCATGAATCTCGTATTTTGAAAGAAGGCATTTTGTTTAGTTGCTGCTTTATAAGGATGCCATTTTCTGGTGAAGTTGTGTGGACTAAGTTACTGTTAAGTGTCTCAAGGGCAGGAGCCATCTTATTTTCGAATTTGTGCCTGGTACACACTTGGGATGTTCCTGAAGTGGGCAGAGCAAGAACTAAAGCATACGATTACACTTCTCTGTGATCTTTCCTAACACCATGGGACTCTGTGAATAAGAATGTGACATTCGCTTTAGAGAACTGAAGAGTTTGGGCACGTGGTGGAGTTGTGAAGGGATGCGTTTCATCCCCTGAGCAGTAGATTGAAGCAAGAGCTTTGAGTTTCCAGTCTCGCAAAATTATCAGTGCTCAGCATTGTATAAATATAGTGAAAATGAAAATGTCTATGAGTTATAAATTTAGATTAGAAGGAGGTACTTTATAAAATTTTTCACAATGTTGCTTATACTTTTTTAGATTTTTCAGCCCACACTAATTTTTTCCCAAGATTTATTTATTTGAAAAGTTGAGTGAGGTTTTCTTTATTCATTCATGTATTAATGGACACCTGGGTTGACTCTATATCTTGACAATTGTCAATTATGCTGTAATGAATGCAGGTATCACTTCAACAAACTGATTTAAATTCCTTTTTTTTTTTTTATCCAGAGGTAGGACTGCTGAATAGTAATTCTACTTTTAATGTTTTGAAGAATCTCTACACTGCTTTCCACCATCATTGTACAAACTTGCATTCTCACTCTGCAACCCTACATTCTCACCAACATGGTTCATCTTTCTTGACAGGTGTAATGTGATGACTCCTCATTGTCATTTTAATTTGAATGTCTGATTACTGACAATGATCAGTTTGTCATACACCTACTGACTGTATGCCTTTTGAAAAAAGTCTGTTTGGGTCATTTGCCCATTTGTTAAGTGAGGCTATGTGTTTTCTTGCTATATGGACTCGTTTGAACTCCTTGTGTGTTTTGGATACGAACCCCCTTCCGAAGCAGGTGAGGTGTAAATGAGTAGGTTGTGAGAATAATCAGTATGCTCTGCTGTCCACACAGCAACCCGGATCTCCGGAGAACTGAGCCTGTCCTGGAGAGTCCCCTGCACAGGACCAGCAGTGGTAGCTCCTCCAGCTCCAGCACCCCCAGCTCCCAGCCCAGCTCGCAAGGAGGCTCCCAGCCAGGGTCACAAGCTGGGTCCAGTGAACGTACCAGAGTTCGAGGTAAAGCGCTGTGTCACCTTCCTGGGGAGGAGGCCCATAGACAGGGGAACAGGTTACTTCTTGACTCTCCTCCTGGCATGGCCACCCCTGTGGGACACTGAAGAGCCCCATAGCTGCTCTTAGCGTCTGCCTCCTCCCCAGAGTGGACTACCATCCCTAATTGTGTGTGTGTGACATCAGAGTGTGGACAAAGTCCTTTTTAATCTCAGCTAACAGTCAGTGCCTTCTGGAGACGTCAGCAAGAGTGATCTTACTTGCGAATATGGTCACGTAATGTGGGTGAACTTCCATGTCCATTTGATGGCCCGCCTTCACAGTTTCATGTACTCCCTGAGTGTCCTACTCCAATGTCCCAAAATCCCATCTGGCATCTTGAATATGGTTCATATTAGTAGGTATTTCTCAAAATTCCGTGAAGACTAAAATAGAACAAATATATTTGAGGAAAGAAATAAAATCTCTGACTTGAACAGATACATTTAACTCTTCTGGTTATTCCTATTAGATAGGTAAAAATTAGCCTCTCTAAAATATCTAATTCAAATCATTGACATTGTTTAGTTTTCACTAATGAAGAAGCCTAGGAGAAGCAGTGTTGTCCAAATTATTATGAGCATAATAATACATTGTTTCTAGCTAATCAAAATTCTCTTTTTGAATCCGCTTCTTCAGAAGGTAATTCTGCTTCCAAGTGATAAAGACCAGTACTATTGAGTGCGATTTGATGAACATTAATAACACTTGTGAATTACTCTGATGAAAACCAGCAGCTCTTTTTTTCTGAGCCTCTTCAGTAGACACAACCATAGTTTACCATCCAATATATATCCCTTTAAGGTCTTAAAGGCCCCATATGTGTGTTTTGAAAAACTGGTGTATAACCTGGGGTGTCCATGTCTCTAGGGATGTGGATTGGCCTCGGGCTGCCCTGCTTGCTGCCTTCTCTGGTCAAGGGCGTCTCCCAGAGCTACAGAAGTCTTTATTGCCAGGATCCAAATATAAATTGAATTTAGAAAATGTTTTGCCCCTGCCTTTCTTTCTAATCATATACTTAGTTACAGAAAATATCAAAGAAAACCAAATTTACACATAGCAGTTGAATTCCCTCATTCAGGCTTAATTCTTATATTCTTTCCTTTGGCCCCTAGCTCTTCTGGGTTAAAACAGATCTCTCTACTGTAGATTAGATCTTCACTCCCTGCACGCTCATCACCCTAAGAGCTGCTTGCTCACTCCTTTGCTCTATAAGTCTGGTCTAGGGCCCTTCCCCCCAGGCATACCCTCCTCCCTGCCCCCACATCATTCTTTCTACCTTAAAGGGGGCCAGACCACTTCTCACTCCGACTTAAAAACTATTCTACCAAATAAAATAGGTTTCCTTTTTTTCTTTTTCTTTTTTCCATAAAAGTTCATCAGAATAATCTGTTCTGCTGGGTAACTAGTCAAAGCAGCAGCCAAGTTGAGAAATTACACTGAGAGTTTGGGCTTGCACATGGCTTAAGAATGGGACTTGCAGAATTGAGTCAGAATCTCAGCTCTCCCCGATTTCAGCATCACCTCTGGCCAGTGGTGTCATCTTTCTAAATCTGTGCTGACAGTAAAATCAAAAAATAGCACCACCCCTTTGAGTTGGAACAGAGGATTAAGTGAGATAATTGACATAGAATGCATTTAGCACTGTGCATGCCCAATAAATGGTACTTGCTGTAGTGTTTCTGATTACTAGTAAGTTCCAGGTTAGAAGCCTAACTGCGCTTGCCCAAACATTTATTTATTTATTTTTTTTGCCATGAATGTGCTTGAGGATTTGCTGGAGTGAGTGCTGTGTCCACGGAACAACTCTGACGGCGTGACTCAATCCCAGATGACTCATCCAGAGCATGAGTCCCTACTTTTTGAGGTCTTTCCTGACCCTCTGTTTGTTCCTGCAGCCAACAGCAAGTCAGAAGGATCACCTGTGCTCCCCCATGAGCCTGCCAAGGTGAAACCAGAAGAATCCAGGGACATTACCCGGCCTGGTCGACCAGCTGTGAGTGCTTTTCTCTCTGCGTTTGTACCTCGATTAATTTACCACAGAACACACAGGTTACAGCAGTCAGGGTACACTCAGGAGTATAAACCAAAACTGTTGATTATTGAGAAGAATGAAGTCCTGAGCACCAAATAGGCAGTCATACTGATATTGGAATTTGATCCCTTAAAATTATATATGAAATGTGGCTCCTTAAAGTTCTCCAGAAGTCCCATCTGGGGTGCCACATATGTTACTGGAATTTGGGGTGCCATACGATATCACCATATGCTATTAATAAATCCCCAATATTAAGCCCATGTGGGTTCTTGCCTAGTATTCAGAGAAGAATTCTGAATACCGGCATAAATGAACGAGGCAGCATGGTACATTTTAAGCTTTTATTTAGTGCGAAAGATGCATAGGAGAGTGAGGGCTTTATCTCAGGGATAGATCTAGATTCATACTGAGTACCAGGAACCAGCCAGTGGAAGAGCAGGTAGGCCCAGAAGCCTAGGGCGGGTAGGCCAGAAAGCCACCTGCCCAGGAAGTGCAGGGCTACTGCCAGCCCCCTCCTGGCAAGAGGCCAGGGCGAGGGAGGGAGGTAAAAAAGGGCAGGACATACCCTGTCCCAGGATTTTAATCCACTCTGAAAGGGGCGTGGCTAATTAACCTGATTGGCCGGTGGGCACTCAGGTGTGGCCAGGTAGGAACAGGAGGTCACACAGGGGCATGGTGAAGGCGTGGTCTTCTAGCTCACAAACCTAATCAATTTTAGCCTGTATGCCTGTCTACTTCAATACCTGATCAGCAAAGAAATGAACCAATCTTGGAGTGCATCCTGTGCCCTCAGATGTTGCACTTAATATTAGCATGTCTTTAGAAAATGAAACAGGAGGAATAATATATCATTCTATAATTTCTATGCAACAACTTTGGCAAAAAGATGTTGAAACTAAAAGTTAAAGAGACTTGGACACTTTCTATGATTTATTTACTGTTCTACTGTGCTTTTTCCCCATATTATTTTCCATGTTTGTTACTATTACAGTTTTTCTGTTACTTTTCATGCCGCTAGGCCTGTTTTCTGGATAAAAATTGATAAGCATGGTGCAATTTAAAATTAAATCCAGCGTCACTGCTGTGACGTGATAGACCAAGACATCTTAAAGAATGAAATAAAAGCACAGAGGCTACAATTTGAAAGTTGAAAAATAATTTAGAATGAGTGACTATCAACTTTTTAAAAATTTGCGGAGAATCTTTTCTACAGAATGAATGTCGAGTCTATCTGGTTTACTCTGTTTGTTCACCTAAAAGTGAAGAAGTACACTGAGAGTAATAACCAGGGGGACTCGCACAGTTCCCGGCTGGTGTTTTCTTTGCTCTTTTGTATTATCAGCTGTTTTGGGAAATGATTCCAATGTGTCTAACTTGCTGCCTTGCCTTTCTTCTGGCTTTCTCCCCTTCTATGGATTCTTCTGGATTGGGTTCTTCTTATCTCAGAGCTATAAGAAAGCTATAGATGAGGTTAGTATTTTCTCTTCTTGATTGTATTTTCATAAGATGTAAATGTTAACCAGTTTCCTGATTTTGACATTCAGAAAGGTGGCCAATGGGATCACAGATGTAAAGTCACAGGCAGACCTGCTGGGCGAGTGCCCCTCCAATGGAAGCTACCCTCAGACCTACCCATGTGAAGCCTTTCTTTTAAGCTGTCACTTTTCCAGTGTCCAGTTGGTTAATAACAAGTATCAAGGCCTTGTTAATGGGACCATTTCTCTATTCAGTATCTTCCCATAGCAAACCTGTACCTGACAGCCTTGCTAGGGGATAGCTCTCTGCAGTTTCATTAACAAAGAGACGTCAGTCCTAGGACACTGCAAATTTCTAGGGTGTGATTTTGAACAGAAAGTGACTGAGTACTGCTAGATTAATCTTATGGGACATTAACAACACCATCAACAGCAACGTTAGTTAATGAATCTTGGTGAGTGAAATGACTCTCTTATCTGTTGAGACATTTTTTCATTAGAAAAATATATGGCTTTGTCAGTCGCAGGTAGATCATTAAGAAGCCTGATTGCCTTACTGCTGTTTGTCAGGCCTGCATGAATACCATACAGCAGAGTAGATTTTTTTTTAAGAGGTAGGCCTTGCAAAGCACTCAAAATGCATGGAATCTGAGAATACTGTTATGGCTTTAAGGCTTTTCACTCTGCTGAGCACTGTTTTGGTGAGTTTACACAGAAAAGGCATGGCTTTGTGATGAGAAATCTGCATTGAGATCCCCCAGTAGACAACTGACTGGGACAAGTTTCTAACCTCTCTTGGCCAGACTTTCCTCAGCTGTCCAATGGGGATAAAAACCCTGCCCTACCCAGCTCAGTGGAGTGTTAGGCTCGCTCGAGGTCATGTGTGCAGAAGCATTTTGTGACGTGTAAAGAGCTGCAGAAAGCCAAGAGGTGATCTTGTTTGTTGAGGATGGGGCCAGAGGCATGGAGCTGGCAAGCGGGAGAAGCATGTGTCTGTGCACCTGGTCTTTACCAAAGAGCCTCACTTGTGCAGAATTATGATCCTGTCACTCTGCAGAGTAATCCAGAAAGTTACCGTAGTTAAAGAATGATTGATTGTATGAGTGAGATGCTGCATGTCTAGCGTGGGGTTGTCATGCACAGGAAGGGCAGAGGGGACCTTGTTGACTGTTGTGTGCTGTGGTCTTGCCCACTCCTTTCCCTCATGGTAGTGACAAGGACAAGGGTTATCACCATGTTCAGCAGCTTTCTGCCAGAACATTGGCTGCTAATACATACGGTTTTGTGTGTGAACAATCCAACAGTAATTTCACCCCACCGGAAATTGGCTTGAAGATTGCTGGTTAACCTAGGACATTTTGGCCTTTGAAAACTTGCTTTGTGTACTGTGGTGTGCTCTACCACGCTGGGCAGAGTTGAAAGAGGGCCACAAAGACGTAAGCCATGATGAGCAGTTGGGGGAGTGTGAGCTGCACACTGTAATCCCTGGAGCCACGTGTGGTTGGAAGAAGCCCTGCAGGTGAATCTGATAACCCTACCCCTTGAGCATCACTGATCTAATCCAGTGCAAGTCCAGGGTTGCTTGGTTCTACCGAACCCAGTGGTTCTCCACCTGGAATGGTGCCTCTACTCCCCTTCTAGAGGACACTGGGAAAAGTCTAGAGACGGTTCAGGTTGTCACACTCAGGGCTGCCAGGGGGCGCCCCTAGTATCTTGTGCATAGAGAGTGGCTACCAAATATCACAATGCACAAGAGAGCTCCCCATGATAAAGAACTGCCTGGCCCCAAATGTCAATAGTGCCATGGCTGAGGAACCTTGAGCTTAAATCCCTCCCCCCCTTCTCCTTTCAAAAGCATGGCTATGGCTTCCCTCTCAGAGACTGCTTTTCCCTTTAGATACCCTGAGATTGCAACGAAAGTCCTAAAACGTCTTTGAAAATGTGTTGCCTGTTGATACTAATTTGATGGTTCAATTCTTCATAAAAATCTGAAGGAGTGCTCATTAATTTGGAGTTGTGGTCTAAGGAATATGAGACAATAGAGCATAGTGTGTGACTATTTAGTACAGCCTTTGAAAATAAGTATTTGCTTTAGACAGTCAAATACGTGACATGAAGATTATGCATATAACCAAGCACTGGTTTTACCACTGTTGTTTTGTTAGTGCATGGGATTCTGGAACAAAACAAAACTTTAAGCATGCAGGCTGGTGCAAATCTGTAGACTGGCTGGAACTAGCGGCCTCAACCAGTCTGATCCCTTCTTTCCTCACTTGAGGAGGCTGAAGCTGAGTGACCTGCCTAGTGTCTTAGCTTAGGCTTCCTAACAAGAAGTAAGTTATTACATAGAGGAAAGACCAGCTCAAAACTTTTAAACAAAATAATAGTTCAAAGAGTTGAATGGAAATTTGCATAAACTATCTTGTTTCTAAAAAGAGGAAAAAGCAAGTTTTCAGACAAGGTGTGCATAATAACTGTCAGGTTACATAAGCTTTACTGAATGAAAAATTATATCAAGTTGGCTCTAAAATGGGTTAGATCACAGAAGCCTTTGGGTAAGAGCCCCTTCACTATCTTTAATTTTACTCTGTCGAAAAACCCTACTATATTGCCATATTTCTTTTTTAGTTATGTGTTCTCAAATATTTTCATGCTAAATAGCACTTTTATTCCCTTTTCTTAATACTTTTTAGCTTCAGGCTTGAGATAGCCAAGCAATAAATTAGCACAAAGGCTCATTATATAGAGAAAATTGGTATTGTCAGAGAATAAAATGTATGAAGATGGATCTGAACCCAATGGTGTCAGTTTTAGAGCATGTCTACTTATATAACTTTGCTTTGATAAGTTTTTGCATAGGCAGTGAATACAAAACAAAACTTTAACTAAGCATGCAGGCTGTTGGCAATGGAAGGTTAGTTCTTCTGACTGGTAGTGCTACTTCAGAGTTCCTGATTTACCTTGGTGTTTTCATGGCATCTCACCCCACAAGCTGTTACCAATTAAAAGAAACCTGCAGTTATTTCTAATGTGTCAGGAAAGTTAGATTTTTAATAGCACCAGAAACAAAAAAATTGAAAGCAAAATCATAAAGCAGGTCAGAACGTTAAAGTGTTTCTAAATACAGTGTTTAGAAAAATGTAGGTCATTTTCAGAAGTGAAACTTGTTTTAAAATCAGTGGGCTATTGGGCTACCTAAATATTTCTAAATAACTGATTTTTAAAATCTCTAGTTTTGAAATGTCAAAAATAAGGAAAACCAAGTCCTGGGGAAAATGTATAATTAAATAAATCATAGCTAATAGTGTTATATTTTACTCATAATTATTAACAATAGAAATAAACTATTTTAAACCATATTCTCTCTTTAAATTTATGATAAAATGCAACTTTTAATGACACATAACATTTTAAATGCTAATTTTGTTCTTTAATTTAACTTAACCTGGCCTTAATTTACAGAAGTCATAAAATAATTTGTTGTTATTTTATTGGTTTGAAAGATTATAATATCCTTTTCCTTTCATAATCTTAACAAATATCTAGGTGATATTTTCTGAGAGTATTCAAGTACAGCATACACTTCACTTTCTTCTCCATTTAATAAAGATTAGCATTGGTAATTGTTAAGAGGAAATAAGTCAAAAGCTGAAATCCAGACAGTAGCTTTTCAAATTTTGAACTATCGCTAAAAAAAAAAAAAAAAAAAAAAAAAAAAAAACCCAGAAAAAAATCCGTAGTGTTCTAACTATGGGGTAGTTTTCCCTTTCTTTATTAGTATGCATTATATTTCAACACCATTGAGTCTTTTCAGTGCAATTCTATTTCCGCTTGCACAGGTGAGGCGACAACACCTGTTGAAGCTGAGAGCATCTGTGTGAGCAAGTGTGCCAGTGTGTAAAAGTCCTGCAAAGCATGTTTGTGTAGTGAGTGCACAGTTTGAGTTTTCAAACAATTACCTTTTCCAAGGGCTTCATGCAAGTAATTCAGGGCAAATTTCAAAGTCACTATTGCTTTCCCTCTGATTTCTATGAAATTAGAAAGAAATGAGCCCTTCACTTAACACCTTGAACTTCGTAAATGTCAGATAAAATATGGGAAGCGTTAACTCGCTTAATTTTAACCAAAATAGTAATGTCTGGCATCTAGGTGTCAGTGGAGAAACACAGTAGTGTTACTGTCTTCTTAGAATAAAATCACAGTTATGATTTCACTAAACACATGTATCAGTTTTGCTTCTCACCAATTCAGATAGATTATATAACATCATCTAGATCGCCTAGATTGTGCTGATCCCGCATCAGGTAAATTGAACAAATACATTTCTGGATTGAAGTAAAGAGAGAATATGGCCTTAAGACAACTGGGATTTAGTATTTTTCAATGAGTTTCTTTCTCCCTAATCCCCTGTCTCTCACCGAATGCTCTGATTCCCACATGGGTCCCTAAATAGGGAGAAATGGTAAGACCAATGTCCAATTGCCTTGTCCTCACTTGCATGCTGTGTGCCATGGGCAGTTTAACCCATGTGAAGTAGAGCGGCCGTGCTCTCGTAGAACTGCTTCTCTCTCCCTGCATTGCTCTGAAAGCATGTGCAATCAGAGGCAGTCAGACTCTGCACAGTGCCTGCACTCTGCCTGGTGACCAGATACTGCCTCATCACATCCATAAGGCTACAGGTTTCATCATCCCCATGGACACTGGAAAGTTGTCTCTTCCTTTGGGGGTTTGCACATTTGTTGCAGTGTTCTGCACCAGGGTTTCTGATTGGGAACCGGAGTTGAAAACAAAAGAAAATGAAGCTCCTATCATTCTGGAAGAGGACTCTTTGATTTTTCTTTTTTTGTATTTTGTTTTGCTCTGTTGTTCCTCTTGATGAACTCAACTCTATGGCTGTAATTGTCAGTGGCACTAGGCTTTGGGTGGGCCATCATTTGATTCAGTGCCTCTGCTCTCCAGGGAATGATGACACACCCAATGAGTCATTGTAGTAGCTGGAACCGTGGGGATTACTCTATTCTGTGACTGATCCTAGATTTTGGTACAGTAGTGATCATAAGAAGGGAGAGGCCATTGCCATGGTATGGGCAGGAGCCCCAGAATCCTGGGGAACAGTTCCTAATCCCATGCATTTTCCCATTAACTCTGAGACTGACCAGCTTCACCTTCCCAAAGTAAAATGAGATCCCACTGTTTGCATATATGTGTATGCACACAACAGGCCTACACATACATACACATATATATTCAGAACTCAACAGTCAGTCTCGCCATGGGTTTTGAATGGAGTTTTAATGGATTTCATCTTTCTTTTCTAGCTTCTACACGCTACAAACATTGTTCCCTTCGTTCCATGCAGTAACTATGTTTGTCACAGTTGTATAGAGAGCTTCTTTTTTCTTGTTGCTTAAGCTGGAGCACTGACTTGCTGAGAGATGTAGCTTTGGTCGCATCTACAACTCCTATGCTGAGCAGGCTTTTCTTTTGTAGGATCTGACGGCATTAGCCAAAGAATTAAGAGAACTTCGGATTGAAGAAACAAACCGCCCACTGAAGAAGGTGACCGATTACTCCTCCTCCAGTGAGGAGTCGGAGAGTAGTGAAGAGGAGGAGGAAGATGGAGAGAGCGAGACCCATGATGGGACAGTGGCTGTCAGTGACATACCCAGACTGATGTAAGAGGACTGTTTTCAACATAGACGAGGATGGGCCTAGAGGTCTCTTTTTCAAAAGGGGCAAATAAGGGTTGGCTCTGTTGCTTAGATGGTTAAAGCACCTGTCTAGCAAAAGGGGCAAATAATGAGTCTAATATAAGCACCTATGTGGGTCTCAGATGGGATAAATTGGCTTTGGGGATTTGGGTTTCTGTTAGAGCAGAATACTTTCATGATGATTTTTCTCACAGACACAGCATTATAGACCATGCACTGTTTACCTGCCTCTTGCCATCGGACTGACTGTCCCTTTGGTGGCTCCGTCATGGCTCTTTACAGCTGTAGGGTGCACAGTGCCAACAGCCAGGCATGAGTAATCACAATGACATCTAAGAATGACCCTGAACTACTCATCTTGCATCATCGCCACTATCACCAAAACACTGAGCACAATGCACTTGGCAGCGTGGGTTAGCATGCCAGCCCAAGAGTCAGGTGTCAGATAGTGAGGAGGTGAAACTCTCAAGGGTCTGACTTAATACTCACTGTTGCAATTTCCTGCCTTGTCCCCTTTGTTTTGTCTCTAGTTTGATCTTTTCTTCCCCCGTAGCTTGTGTCTTGTTCTCATAATTTGTCAATGTCTGTGTATTTGCATCTATATTTATACCTACCTGTATTCCCTTAGTAGTGAATAGCCTTGACTTTTTCCTTTTCTTTTTTCTCTTACTGGAGTAGATCCTACAGAAGAACCTATCTCTATCCTTTCTGCCTTCTACCCCAGATTAGGCACAGGTGCACTGCCCTGGTTTACTGTAACCCGGACAGCATAAGATGCCAGCTTTCCAAGTCTCCTTTTTGTTCACCTCCAAGTCTTTGGCTCGGCTGCTAGTGTTGATCCCAAGACCACAACCCTGTGTATAGGGAAAATGCCATTTCAGACTGCAAAAACTGTTCAGCAGAGGTTGGAGAAGCAGGACAGGCCGGTCTGCAGGGAGTGTCATCTATTGATTAATGATCCTTACGTTGAGGCAGTTCTTAGAGGCAAATCTAATTATCATAGCAGAAATCTGTAGTTGTTAGTTTACTGATGATTTCCCAGCTATTGACACTCAGAAATGTGCTAAAATATGACATTTTGAAACAAACTGTTTTAAATTGCTCTTTTAACAGCACATAAAAATGTCCTAGAGGCAAAATCACTAACCAGAACATTTCTGCAAAAAGGCACTAGCCCTTTCAGTATTGTCTTGACTCAGCATTACCTCATTCTTCTCACAGATGTTCTGAATTCCCTCTGGGCACTGAGCACACAGCTACCAGGAGAAAGTCAATTGTGAAATTAAGATTGCTAGAACACTCACAATGTGTTAGACACCCAACCAAACGCTTTGAGAAATTTAGGAAGTACATACGTGCTTGTATTCTGCCTTCCCAAAGTTTATATCCTAGTTGGAGGAAAACAACATTACACCTGGAAAACTGCAGGCTAAAACCAGCATTTGGAAGAATAACCATTGGCAGTTTGGAGGGAACATGGCGTTTAGTTTTAAGCCCTATTGTATTTCTGCAATGGTGTTCATCCCTGTACCTCCAAAGGCAGGCATCTCTGGGCCTCTTCCCCAATGCAGAAATAATCTACTTTCCCAAGATTTCCAGAATAGACCATGCTGGACTTCACTCTACTCTGTGGCACTCTCCTGTCCCCTTAAAATTCACCTGTTCACAGCCCAGCCCATACAGGTAAAGTCTGTTCCCTCTCCTTTCCTGTCACTGTATCTTGTGTTTATTCCTGTATATTCATGAAGTGTCTTGAATCGGGATTTTTATTATTATCATTATGCATTTGTCTCCCTCTCTGAGTTGTGAGATCCCCGAGGGTAGAGACTGTGTCTTCTACATCTCTCTACTCTCTACTTTTGCATGGTGCGGGATTAGAGTGGGTTTCAGTGACTGTGATTCACATTTAGCTGCTCCGAGCTGGGATTGCAAGTCCTGACTTTGGAAGAGTTAGTCTAATACAAGGGAAAGGTGTGCGTGCAAGTGACTGGCAGCAAGACAGGAGAACGCAGGGCGATGTTAGCATCTCAGGCAGAAGAGTTGAAGTAACGACACACAAGGTGTTTGCTGGGAATGTAGGGTGCATGAGGAGCAGAGGGGACCTGGACTTGTGAAACCAGAGAAAGAAGCGAGCGCTTCGTGGTGCAGCCGCTGGGAGCTGCTGAAGCTGCCCTGAGGTGGGGAGTGACATGATCGGGGTTGTGTTTGAGAGACTTATTTCAGCAAGATGCTTTGGGAAGGGGGCAGCCAGAGACTGGTAAAGAGATTCACAGATCTACTACTGTAATCCAGGTCAGAAACAAGGTGATCATGGAAGGCTCATCCCGGAAACTTGACACAGTTCTTGAAGAAAGGATAAATTTTAGATAGACAGACAAGATCATCCATTAAAGAACATTTAATAGAATTTATATAAGAATAACATTTAATTATATGAGATACACTCAGAAAGTGGAAGGAAGCATATGTACTTATTCCAGTCTGGTAAATACTATGCATGTGTTTTTATATGCATATAAAATGTATACAGTCTGTTTTCCAACATGACAATTGCATGCCAAACAAATTTCACACTATTAAAAATTCATTATAAAACAGTTGCTCCTTAGATACAGAGTATTTTGGCATTAGAATGTTTCTCATATACATTTTCATTACCTTTATTTTCTGTTGTTAGTGTGAACTTTATATATTGTGCTATATATTTACAGAGCAGAAAATGAAAATAAATTGCAACACATTTCAATATCATGAAATGTAAACAAAAGAGCTTCTCAGAAATGGAGTCCCAGTCACTCAGAAAAGCAGCTGTGGATTCTGATTTTCAAAGCAGTTGCTTTTTTTCTTTACACAACTTCACACTTACTGTTTAAAGTATAAGCTAAAAGAGTGCACATAACTAAGTTTGTGTTCCAAACACCAACTGCACCAATTCCCAATGCCTTTATTCATAGAAAAATTCTAAGTGGAGGGAAACTGACAAAAAACTACAAAGGTGGTAACCTCTGAACTATACAGCTATAAGGAATTTTAATTTTGTTCATATCCTCAGTTACGTGATGGGCATGTACTACTTTTCTAATTAGAGGGAAATAATAGCTTCATAGAATAGAAAGAAGGCAAGGAAAGACAGGTAAGCTGGTTTGCAGCATCTCAAGCAAACCAAAGAGGCATCCTTTTGTATTAGTAACTTTTCTCAAGTACCAGCACACGCCTTAGAACAGGCCATGTAAGGTGTGGTCTTGACTGTTGGGGTGGCTACCACTACACAGTCTTACAAACCGCCATCTGGACAACAAAAAGCCACATAGCTTTGAGTTTCCTCATTTTCATTCTTACTACAAGCCATGGTTGTGACCCCCCTGCCTGCCTCCCAGCTACCAGGGTGCTCACTGTCCTTGCCTTGGGTACTCTTGGCTCTCCCCGCTGTCGTCCAGGCTCTGGCCGGATTAATGCTGAGGAAGGGTGACTCTGGCCAGGCTCCATCTCTAGTTTCCTACAACCTTTTGCACCCCTGGAGTCCGTGATTTTCTCTAATAAATGCTCTGGCCAGACCTCCTCATCAACCTAAAAGGCCTTACCTCTGTCTAATATTACACCTTTCCTTGGAATGATCTACCCCTGTCTCATTTATTCCTTCAGTTTGCACTGTATTTCAGTACATCTGTTATGCTTTAATGTACTTATGAATCCTCACTTCCTTAGTTTTGGAACTTTTACTCAGTTTTTATATCCACAACCCAGAGCCAAACCAAGGGCCTTCAGGTAGCAGGTGCTTGATAAATGTATAGTCAATTGAATTAAATCAATACCTCCAGGAGCACAGTGACAAATCCAATTAGAGGAAATTATTGTTTTAAACCTACAGCTTAATTACAGTAAATTTACAACAGTGTTCCTTCTATTCAGTAGAGGTTTTTGTTTTGTTTTGTTTTTTATAATCTTTATAAGATTTTGGACAACTAATTTTTCCTATCCAGTTTCTGTATTGGAAAAGTAAGTTTTAGCACAAAGGATTGCTTTAATTGAAAAATGTTGTTGTTTTCCACTAATAATTAGCATCTTCCAGTCATAGGGTATATATGTCTTAAGGATTGAACAAATATTAGAATATTAACTTCCATAGTTTTTATTGTAATACTATTTTCTCTCTCCAAGGATCTCATCCCAGATACTGTATTGTATTATATTTAATTTTCATAGCTCCTTAGACTTCTGGCTGTGATAATTTTGAAGACCTGTCTTTTGGATGAACTTGGCAGTTTTGAATAGTCCTGAGCAGACATGTTGATAGATGCCCCTGTGTTGGAATTTTTCTGATGTTCTCATGATTACACTAGGGTTATGGGGGCCCCAGAGAAAATATGACATTTTGATCATATCATGTCAATTGCACATCCTGTTAACATGAGTAATGACTTTTTAGCGTTCACCTTGATTGACTGGCCAAGGCAGTGTTGAAGTTTTCAACTGTTAAGTGACTTTTCTCAACTTCTCCTCCCTCCCATGCTATACTCCTTAGAAGAAAGCCACTACACACAGCCCATACTTAAGGAGTGGGGGAGTATGCTCTCCTCCTTTAAGACTGGGATATCTACATAATTTATTTGGGATTTTTCTTCATTGGAGATTTGGCTCTTTTTCATTTGTTAATTTATTCAATATTTATATCAGTATAGACTTATGGATATTTATTTTGTGCTTTGTGCTATGATCCAATATGAGGGAGCTTCTAAAAGCTCATGGAAATTGAGTTAAAATATACGATTATTTGGCTGCAAAACTTTTTCCAATCTATGAATGTGAGGGCTCCTCAAAAGGCATGTTACAAAAAAACTATTCATGGCTTTCAAAAACTTTTTGCAGCAAGATAAACTTATCTTTTAATTTTTCCATAAACATCTTAACATCTTGAGGTACTCTTGTACATGGTTTTTTTTGTTTTTTTTGTTTTTTTTTGTTTTTTTTTGCACAGATTGTTCCAGTTTTGACCATGAAGGGCACTTTCAGTTCTTTCCTGGCCCTCTTTGACATCCTATCATGTACATGCACACATACATGTGTGTGCATTGGGACACTTCCTTGCCTTTTTCTTTTAAAGATTTATTTATTTATTTGAGAGGCAGAGTTACAGAGGAGAGACAGAGAGGGATCTTCCACCCACTGGTTCACTCCCCAAATGGCCACAGTGACCAGAGCTGAGCTGATCTGAAGCCAGGAGCCAGGAGCTTCTGAGTTTCTGAGTTTCCTATGTGAGTGCCAGGGGCCCAAGCACTTGGACCATCTTCCACTACTTTCTCAAGCACATTAGCAGAGAGCTGGATTGGAAGAGGAGCAGCTGGGCCTTGAACCAGTGCCAATATGAGATGCCAGCACCGCAGGTGGAGGCTTAGCCTACTACATCCCAGCGCCACCCCTACACTTACTGGCTTTCTGGTGCTACCAGATATTCCAGGCTCACTTTACATATTTTTTGTACCAGTCTTGAAATCATTCACTTCTTCAAGGAACCCAGATGCCTTTTATTTGGAGAGCGATGATAGAAACCAATGTCTGGGCCCTTGTTGTGCTCATTGCTAGTACAGTGTCATTTCTTCCAGTCCCTTTTGAATGAAAGCAAGGAAATATGTGTACATATTAACCCATGTATGTGTACATATCAACAAATATTTATGTAGCCACCTGTGTCTATGTTAAGCTGAACATGAGTTCAGTACTGACATCTCCAACACTAATCCATTACCACATGGCTCATTCTAAACCACTCCATTACTCATATGTAGATTGTGGCTCCTGTAGTGAGAAACCCACTGTTCACCTCCATTGACTTAAATTGCTCACTTCCAGTATATATATGTATAGAAATGTGGACTAATTAACCCATGCTGTCGTGGAAAGCAATTTCTCAATGTTGTCCACTAAGGTTACATCTCTAAGGTTACTTAGGCCAATGCCTTTTCTCCCATTCTCTTACTGGAGCTGTGCATCCATTTCTAATACAGTCAGATTCTCTTGTCACTGTTCACTTTTCTTTCCTGAGAAATCTTCACTGATTTTTCCTTTCTAGGTTTTTAAATTTTGTATTGAATTTGTATATGTTTAAGACATACAGTATGTCTTTATACACACATATAACATGAACTTTCTTTTTAAAACTACTTTTCAGTTTTACACTTAGTGATGATTTTTGGGGTACACTGAGAACACTTAAATTCTACTCCTAGCAAATTTCAACTAGGCAATGGTACAATATTACTGTATGTGGAAAGCATTTTCCTGTCACATATATGAAGACAGTGATTTTAAAAAAGGTCCTTTCCTACTTCTGCCATTTTGAGCAACTCTTAAGCAATCATAGATATGATTAAGGTTTTCTTGCTTTAAAACATTGAGAGAGAATTGAGCATGGTAGGAATAGGTCATCTTGCAGCTTCTGGAGATTGGTGTGGGTTTTACATGCACCCTGAAGTATTGTCTGCTTTCAGTGGTCTTTGCAAATTTGCCTACTCTAATGTCCCACAAAGTTCTGTGACATATCTCAACATACTTCTTGTTATCCTTTAATAACCACCTAAATTATTTTAGTATATCCTAGGGAACTCAGTGCCAAAATTATTGCTTAAATTATAAAACAGCAAAACTTAACATGAGTTGAGCCGGCGCCACGGCTCAATAGGCTAATCCTCCACCTGCGGCGCCGGCACACCGGGTTCTAGTCCCGGTCGGGGCGTCGGATTCTGTCCCGGTTGCCCCTCTTCCAGGCCAGCTCTCTGCTGTGGCCCGGGAGTGCAGTGGAGGATGGCCCAGGTGCTTGGGCCCTGCACCCCATGGGAGACCAGGAGAAGCACCTAGCTCCTGCCTTCAGATCAGCGTGGTACAGCCATTGGAGGGTGAACCAATGGCAAAGGAAGACCTTTCTCTCTGTCTCTCTCTCTCTCTCTCACTGTCCACTCTGCCTGTCAAAAACAAACAAACAAACAAACAAACAAAAACAAAAAAACATGAGTTGTAAAGGACATTTTTAACATGCTAGTAATTATCCTTGTAGCAAGTCACTCATCAATTCACAGGAGAGACAGGTTTTGACAATCAGCTTGGATGCAGTCTCTACTAGCAACCTTGAACAACAGCTTTGACTGAGCACACCTTGAATGATCTCATAAACGTTTAGTAGGTGCTCCCTGCATTCCATGAACAGTGCTTGGCACTGAAGATGCCACTGTTAACACCACCTGACTGTTGCAGGGGACTGTGATGGGTTTAGAGTCCCTAACTGCAGCTTAAAGGATGAGCTGACTTGGGGATGTAGAGAATGGAAAAGAACCTTTCAGGGAGAGAAGGCAGACTAAAGTCACCAGAGTTTTTATAGTATGATGGGTATAGGAAAAAATTGTAAATTAATGCTGAAATATTAAATTATTCCTTTGAGTATCTTCCCCAACACATCAGTTCCACCCCATACTTAGATGTACACAGTCTACTGTTCTATTTTAGCAGTTTCAAAGTTAATGTGTTGTTGTACATTTCCTTGTGTAGATTCACCCTCTCATCTTCCTGCCTTTCTGTTTAGGATGAAAATCTTTGAACTTCTTCTTTGAAAAATATCTTCTGCCCCTGAAATATCATAAATCTTGCATATTTAACTCTTGTTTTGAATCAAGTCCTTTGATTGGTAGTATCCAAGATGTCAGAGACATTTTTTCAAATATATAAAAAATACTCATAAATGAATGATATAGCCAAAGTTAAATTAACACACATAAGAAGTAATCCTTAAAACCTTTCTTTTTAAAAGCCATCCAATTACTTGAGTCATCAACATGGTCTTCCAAGGTCTGCCACCATGTGGGCGACCTGGATTGAGTTCTTGGCTCCTGGCTTCAGATAAGCCTGGCCCCAGCCATCATGAACATTGGAGGAGTGAGCCACCAGGTGGGAGCTGTGGCTCTTCCCCCTTTCTTTGCCTCTCAGACAAATTTTTTTAATTCATAGGAGGTATACTTAAAGTCACAGAAGCATACTTAAAAATATTTAAGATAAATTTTAAGTATATTCTACCACTAACATGGTGTTCGCTAATCATACAATGGCCATGAATATTGTTCCCTCACATCTCAGACCAACAGGCACTCCAGGGAGCAACGAGCAGTACAATGTGGGAATGGCTGGGACGCACGGGCTGGAGACCTCTCATGCGGACACCTTCAGCGGCAGCATTTCAAGAGAGGGAACCTTGATGATCAGAGAGGTGAGTTGGTGTAAAAACTGTACAGGAAGTTATGTTTCTGAAGTGGTTTTTATATCCATGCTTTCACAAAATGCTTGTGCTGTGGATTTTAAGCATGGTGAATGCAGGAGAAACCTGTGCTTCTAAATGGTTGGGTGATTTTAATTGTCTACCACCTTCTTTCTTCTATGGTTCTGCAGTATGACTTAATTACATTAATCCAAATTCTTCAGTGGGAACTATACAATTTGGAATGTAGAATTTGAGCCTGAGGATATAAAATTGTCAAACCCAGATGTTCCTGCAACAGGAAAACAGAAATGAATGGTCTCTGAATAGCATCAGTAGTTTGTTATGTCTCCCCCTGCATCATGGTTTTATCTTTGTGGATTCCGTGTAGAAAATGTTTAGTAGTTCCAAGAAATGGTGATTTCATCTAGGTGAATTAACACTAAAAAGACCCTTTCGCTGCTTTGGTAAAGTAACAAAGAAATACCCAGATCTGCTTTACATTGCACCTTAGCACGCTGGGTGAGTTGGTTGGTTTTACTCTAGGAGCATCCTTTCGTTTGGTGGGAGGCACACATTCCCTTCATCTGTCCTGCCAGCATGCAGCGACTCCCCACTTTGTCTGCCAGCTGCTTAGGTCCCTGACAAATGGGAGCCCATCTTCTTTTTTACTTTATCCTAATTATGTAAGTTTGAGAACAAGTCTTTACTTGCCTGGAAAATAATAGCTGATAACAATGGACAGATTTTACTTGCCCTCTCCTTTCATCTGCTTTATTATGCACAAAATTTTATAAATAATAATATTACACAAGTTAATAAATATAAGCATTCAATAAATGTTATGGATCTTATTTTACTTCACTCAATAGGGCTGAAATTCTCCTTTGACTTCTAATCACTGCCCGCTCTTCCCTCTGACACGTGGGTCCTCTGTAATTCTGCCTCTTCAACCAGGAGGGAGTTGGGAAACACTAATGGCAGGTTTTCTCTCCGTAAAGACAGAGGGTATCTCACTTCTGTAGGGAGGAGAGGAAGTATAGTTTTCAGATGAATAAAAGTCTTTGAAGTAATAATTGGCAATGGGACTATAACCAGAAAACTAGTTCACAAAGCAACTTAGTAGGATTTCATTTTATGGCCTGTTGAATCTTTCAAGTAGGCTTTAAAGACTCCTTCCACATACGCCTGGAATGAAAAATGGACTTGGCTACTGAAGTTGACACTGTGTATTTCTGGTGTGTAAATCTCCCACAGTGGTGAATGGATGATTTCAATGAAAGTGTAGAGGGCTTCTATCACTATAGCTTTTCACTTGGGAAAACAGGGAAAATGTTCTGGAATGAGTTACTCTTTGAAGAAAAGAGAGTCCAATTTCTAATGTGATGTAAAATTTTCTCAGGTCTTTATGACAGACTCTGTACCTCCAAGTAGACATTTGGAAGTGCATTTTCAGTTCTGTTGCCAACAACTGAATGACTCCATATTGTTTAAACCACTCCCTATTCTATGAGCATAATCAAGCACTTTGAAAATAGCATTCCTCAGTGTCATACATGAATTTGGTCTATTGAGGATTCCAAAGGCTTTGTCCTCTGTTTCCAAATTGTGCCTTTTTCAAATGTGATTTTTGAAAACAACAAACTATACTCATCAGAGTAGGCCAGAAAAATGGAATATTTACATATAGAAAGATGTTTATGTGAGGAAATGGCTCCTAGGATCAGGAAGGCTGAGAAGTCCAGTGATCTCCTATCTGCAGGAATGCTCATCACGTAAATCCCAGCTGAGAGTCTGTGCGGAGAAGAAGGGAGACAAGAAAAAGGGGGCGAATTCTGTCTCCTGAATTTTTCCATTCAGGCCCATAAAAGACTGGTTGATGCCACTTTGGAGGGGCATACTACTGAATGCACCAATTCAAGTGCTAATCCCATCCAGAAATTATGCTTAATCTGGCCATTCCATTTCCTAGTCAAACTGACATAAAATTAACCATCACACAAACCTTGAGTAGAAATTCATTAAAACTACATGTATTAAAAAGATTAACACTGGTTAAAGTATATCCCTGACAAAATAAGAAAAACTCATTATAATAAGATTTAGCTTATTGGAGAGTGCCATTAGTTCAGTGCCCTAAGATGAGCATTAAGGACTCATTCAATTCATCATTTCTATGGGACTAGATTTCATGGTTCTGTAAGACCACACTGGCTCTACTACCCATGATCTGGTCAGATGTACAAATATCCCTGCCCTCTTGTTCTACTTTTCTCTATCCTTCAGACCCACAGAACCATGCCTTACTCTAGTTCTAGAACATGCCACACTGGCTATGATCCGGCATGTTGTCCAGGGTGCCCATCTGCTGGATAAACTATTCTCCCTTCCTCACTGCTGCCCATTTTTCAGCCAGCAAATCCCTGTAGGTTTGGGTCAGTCTATTCTTATCAAAGCCTCTACTGGGACTCGATGGACCTCTGTTCATACCACCTTGCTAGTGTCAGCTGGAATCTCATCAGTGTAAGTCCATCCCACTAAGCCACAAACACTAGCTTATCAGTGTTCTTTTGGTTACAAGTAATAAGAAAAAGAGCCCACTTAACACAGCTGAAGAAAAAAAAACACAGCAAGAAGTGGGCAGGAGAGGAACCATAAGAAACAGGGGAACAGAGGTCCAGAAGTATTTCATGGAAAGAACCCAAAAGTAAACATAGAGCTGGGCCCCTGTGTCGAACCGGAAACTCGGAAATGATAGTACGGGAAGTCGGGCAACTTCTGGTGTGCATGTCCTGACTTACGCTGCCTGTCTCTCCTTATCTTATCCCTGCCTGCTTCCATGTTTCTCCTCTGTTTTCTCTCCATAGAGCAGCTTTCTCTTCCTTGCCCTCCTTCCTTAATCTCTGGTTCCCCTCCCTCCATTACAGTCCAGTTGCCAGCAGAAACTGACCAGTGTATCTCAGTTCTGATTTTAAACTCCACTGGAAGCTGGTTCCACTTGGCTTAGGCATCCACTTTTAGCCAAATCCACTAGTACCACAGTGCAGCCCAGACCACATGAGCTCTGCTGCCAGATATCTTGGGTTCAAACCCGGAGTTCATCCCTTAGAAACCATGTCATTCTGAGAAAGTTAATTGAAATTTTTGTGCTGCACTTTGCATCTATCAGATGGGGATAATGAAGGCCACCTCCTGGTGTTGCTGTGAGGATCCAGTGGAATGCCATGTATAAAGTATTTAGCACAGTATCTGACATAAGGTGATGTGTAAACCATCTTTGTGCCTATCCCCATGGCAATTGCGAGGGCGTAAAGAACAGAGATGTGATCATGTTGTTGGGTTCTGCTCATGAGGTCCTGGAAGGCAGGGCTGATGCTCACCTAGCTCTGCATTTGGGAATACCCTACCAGGCCAGGTGTGTTTCAGGGTGTCTGGCACACTGAAAGTGTCTGATAAGAAGGCACTGGTTGAATGAGTTGAAGGGTGCTGACTCCAAAGTGGGCAAATGCAGGGGTTAATGATGGAGGTCAGATTTTAAATTTTTTTCTCTTCCCCTCACTGGCCTCGTCACGTCTTTCTTTAACAACCAATGAGTCCAGATCAGGTTTTGCTTGGCTCGGAGCAAAATGCTGCTGATGACAGACCAAAGACTTCCAAAGAGACCATGTGTGATTTATACTGCTGGGAAGTTGAGTGAACATGTTAAAAAGCTTTATAGTATTTGAACAGGAGTTAGGAGGAAGGAAAAACTGCCCAGTCTATGTAAAATCAGGGACAGCATGATAAATGAGGCCTGAAGTCAGTGTCACTGAGATGAAATGTTCAGCTGCTGAGAAGAGGCGCCGGCATCAGCTACAGGTGAGCACTGTGGCAAAGTGAATCCAGAAAAAGGACGGTTTGCAGTCTGGGAGCATGGAGCCAAAAACACAGAGGATGCCAGGCCTTCCAGTTATTTCTCAGGCTTCCTGCTAATGTCAGTTACAGGCACCCTTAGGAGCTAGTTAGTCTGTTTCATCTCACTGAAGGGGGACAGGAACAAAATGCCTCCTCTCTCTGCCAGCCAGGGGCAGATGCAGAGCTATCATCGCAAGCCAGAACAGGCTCCAGAAAGAAGACACCAGGCCAGTGAGATGGTCTGCCCATGCCAACCCCAAAGAGGGTAGGGCCACTGCCTGCCTTATTGGCAATTAGCCCATGTTCTGCAGAATGCTTTCTATTTAGTGGTCTTTAAAAACTCTGGGTCAATGAATGAATGACAAGAAAAGGCAGAGAGAGAAAGCAATACTTAATCTGAGGGAAGAGACATCTCTAGGGTAGGGGTTTCCACACTGGAAGGTCATGCAACGCTGTAGGTAAAAATTTTAGAGCATGCCCCATGATACAGTATAGTGATTCACAAATCATGTTAGTCCCACTGCACTAACATATTAGATACATTATCAAATACTTCTACAAGATGTTAAAAAGGGAGGCTATAAACATTTCAGATGCTTTGCTGTTCATGATGACATTTTTTACTGCCTACATCACAAATCATCTCCGTTCCTTAGTAAAAGGTTCAACATTAATGAAAGTGGATACAAGCCAGTATCTTCAAATAGTCTTCCAGATCACGTCAGTGTTTTTTGGAACTCACGTTCGATCTGCTTAATCACTGTTTTGACCTTGTGAAGAGCCTGTAAATTGAATAACGTTGCCTCTGTATTTTCTTGGAAGACTCTTGTGCATGGATTATTAGTATTTACCCGTGGCACTGCTGCTGCTTCTCAGCAATGTGTTAGTTTATGTATAGTTTTGTTTCTTCTTCTGGTATTAGGGTCTGTAAATCCAGTTAATTAATATCACCCCACACATCCATTCAGGGGAAGAGGAACTCATAAGTGTGGGTTCTACTAAGCCTTCGCACTTTGTGCTGTCCCTCTCTCCCCAGACGGGACTCCCCACACACACACCGTATGTGACCCCTGATGCCCCTCAAACAGAAGCACAAGGCCTCAGGGCCAATTCATATACTAAATATTAGCATGGCTTACTTTCTCTTGTCTTCATAGGTTATCTTCCCATACCCCAGCGGGCTGATTTGGAGCCCCCTAACACCCATGCTGTGTGAAGGGTGACATCTTTCGATGGCCCTTTCCCGCCTTTCTGATGCCCCCCATGTGTTCTGCCCCCTCAGACATCTGGAGAGAAGAAGCGATCCGGCCATAGTGACAGCAATGGCTTCGCGGGTCACATCAATCTCCCAGACCTGGTGCAGCAGAGCCATTCTCCGGCTGGGACCCCGACTGAGGGCCTGGGGCGTGTGTCTACCCATTCCCAGGAGATGGACTCGGGGACTGAAGTAGGTACTGGGCGATAGCCCCACGGTTCTGTTCTTCAGCGATTCTCAAACCTGCTTCTCTTCAAAAACGAGGTCTTGGCAAGCCCCCTTGAAACATAGATGGCTGGTTTCTACCATGTTCATGGAACTGCTCGTGTGGATATATAGAGAGAAACCATCAAAAACTCTCACATACCATCTGGACCAAAATCTGTTTTTACAGATGAGAGGACTAACACTCACAGAGGTTCAGTGACTTGCCTAAAGCAAATAGCTGTTTCGTCACAGAGCTGAGGCCAGAACTGGGACCTCCTGTTTTCCAGGACAGTGACAGAAACCTCAGGTTTTAGCAATTTCAAGGTCAACAGTTGAGGTTCATATTTATATGAATTTTGTCGAACTATGTTTTACTTGAATAAAAGGAGGTTTAAATGATTTGCTTATGAAAAATAAAAACAAATAGATGGGTTCTTAGCGTATTCAAATTCCTGGACTCCAGGTAGTATGAGAAGGGAGAAGTGAGGCGTCTTTCCTGTAAAGAACAGACACAGGGCCGGTGCCGCGGCTCACTAGGCTAATCCTCCGCCTAGCGGCGCCGGCACACCGGGTTCTAGTCCCGGTCAGGGCGCCGGATTCTGTCCCGGTTGCCCCTCTTCCAGGCCAGCTCTCTGCTGTGGCCCGGGAGTGCAGTGGAGGATGGCCCAGGTGCTTAGGCCCTGCACCCCATGGGAGACCAGGAAAAGCACCTGGCTCCTGGCTTCTGCCATCGGATCAGCGCGGTGCGCCGGCCGCAGCGCGCCGGCCGCGGCGGCCATTGGAGGGTGAACCAACGGCAAAGGAAGACCTTTCTCTCTGTCTCTCTCTCTCTCACTGTCCACTCTGCCTGTAAAATAAAAAAAAAAAAAAAAAAAAAAAAAAAAGAACACACGAGAAGCTATAGAGTAACCATTACCAGGAGGAGCTGGAGAGGTGCCCACAATGATTGGGGGGGGTTGGTGCGTGAACAGTGGAACAGACCTTGTGATCTGTTGAAAGCCCAGCAAATATTGTTACGTTGTCTGTTCCTGCAGTATTCATTTATCTGCTCTGTTTGGTCTTCCTGTTTATTGACTAGTATGGCATGGGGAGCAGCACCAAAGCCTCCTTCACCCCCTTCGTGGACCCCCGAGTATACCAGACCTCTCCCACCGATGAAGACGAAGAGGATGAGGAATCGTCAGCTGCAGGTAGGCAGAAGGCCCCGATGTTTTAGAAACAGCTTGATTTCTTTCTGACAAAGCTCAATATAGAAATTAGTCATCAGTTCAATAATTAAGCCATTTACTGCTTGGTCCTGGTCTTAAAAAGGAAGATTTTGTGGTTATTTTTATAGAATTCCTAAAACAAAATTTTTGTTTCCTTTTTTTTTTTTCGTTTGCTGCTGGTAGGAAGCCAGAGGTATCCAGGAACCCTAGGAAAAGTTGTTCCTCAGAGACCTGTGAACTTACCACCTATTTCCCAAAAACAGTTTCTGGGTATAATTCTATGCACGCAGTAGACACCTAATAATAAGTGCGTGTTGAGTTGTGCTGAGTTTAAGGTGTGTGCTTCCCACCGTGAAAAGTCTGGCTGATTTTAGAGGACGGGCTTGCTTTCTAGACTTCTGCAACTAACTAATCATCAAAGTTATCTCAGGCCAGTTTTTTAAGTGATGTTGAATTTCAAAAAGCAAGATTTCTTGCATATATTACAAGAGGTAGGGAAGGTGGATTTACTTTTTTGAGATTATTATCAGTTCTCTAAACATGCCAAGTAATGCTTATGTCTATAAGCCTGTCTTGCTAGTGGATAAAATACTGCTTCTATGAATGACTTATACTTCGTGCTACTAAAAATAAGCGAAAAGTAAATGTAGTCTCAGAGTGTATGTGCCTTTATTATAACACGCACTAAACAGGAGAAATAGTGTTTTGAAGCCCCTGCTCCATTTCTCCATTGGTTATCTTTAAGATACCACTGATTTCTCTGATTCTTTTTCTCAAAGCTCTGTTTACTAGTGAACTTCTTAGGCAAGAACAGGCCAAACTCAATGAAGCAAGAAAGATCTCAGTGGTAAATGTGAACCCAACCAACATCCGGCCTCATAGCGACACACCAGAAATCAGAAAATACAAGAAGCGATTCAACTCAGAAATACTCTGTGCGGCTCTGTGGGGTACGTTGGTGCTTTATTTTCTCTTATTTTACTACTCATTAATGAGCTGACTCTCAAGCATGCAGAGCCTGTGGATCTCACCATCAGAGTGACACTGGTTGAAGGGGGAGTCTTAAGGAGAGTCAAGAAAGACTTAGGCTCCTTTTGACAAGGAGTCTCTATACAGGGTAGTAAACAGCTAGAGGCAATGAAGGCTGCTACTGCTTCATTTAAAAAAACCTTGTAATGTCATTACCAGAGGGACAGTGATATAATTACTGTGCAAGAACTTCTACTTCTACACTCCCTACTGTAGCACCTGCTCGCTCATTGATTTATATTTACAAGATACAGTTTTTTATGCTTTATTGGGACCACGGAGGCAGAAGGCTTAAAGCCCTTAAAAGTCAGTCTTGGGTTACTTCTTAAAATTTGCAGGTGTAAACCTTCTGGTGGGGACTGAAAATGGCCTGATGCTCTTGGACCGAAGTGGGCAAGGCAAAGTCTACAATCTGATCAACCGGAGGCGATTTCAGCAGATGGATGTGCTAGAGGGATTGAATGTCCTTGTGACAATATCAGGTATGTTACCAGGATCACCACATTCTCCAGGTTGGCATAGGTGGGCAAAGCGATCACCTTGTTTCCAAAGAAACAGGAAGTTCTTCCATTCCCAGTCAAAAAGCAACACAATAAATTATAGCAGTATAGCCAGAGTGAGAGCGCTGGAGTTTGACTTCCAAAGAGAGGTCTTACTTCTGCATTAAAGCTAAATTATGTAGAAATCTTTTACAAAGACTGTATATTTATAGGCATTTACTGTTGTCAGGATTTGGTAAGCATGACTCTACTCAGACATTGTTTCATAAGGAGGCAACACTGGGCTCCTGGGTTGAACTTTAAAGAAAGTTTAACTCCTTGAGGAGCTGTACTTCTGTTTGGAGAAAATGCCTTCACTTGATCCTATAATTCCTTTCTTATTTTTTTTAAAGATTTATTTATTTATTTGAAAGGCAGAGTTAGAGAGGCAGAGAGAGAGAGAGAGAGAGTGAGAGAGAGAGAGAGAGAGGTCTTCCATCTGCTGGTTCATTCCCCAAGTGGCCACAATGGCCAGAGCTGGGCCGATCCGAAGCCAGGAACCAGTAGCTTCTTCCAGGTCTCCCATATGGATGCAGGGGCCCCAGGACATGGACCATCCTCTGCTGCTTTCCCAGGCCATAGCAGAGAGCCGGATTGGAAGTGGAGCAGCCTGAACTCAATATGGGATGCCAGCACTACAGGTGGCAGCCCCAATTCCCTTTTTCTTTTAACTTTCCATGGAATGCTTAGCATTTTCAGCTCTTTTTATCCACCCCAAATAAATTCTTTTTGCATTATTATTGGAGTTCAACTCTGTATAGTCCTGCCTTCTGGTTAATTGCTGTCTTGACTGTTATAATACCAAATCAAAATTACAGCCACCGATCTGTCAGTCACCTACCAAGAGTGTAAATACTACCACAAAATTCACAGTTAGTCTTGATTATGTTGTTCGTGCCGCTTCCCCCTTCTTAAGCGTGTAACCATTTCCATTTCTTCTTACCATGAGGCACAGATGGAGAATGGAGAAAATGAAAATAAGACCAAAAGATTCTTGCACAGTACTGGCACCCCTGCCTACCTAGCTATCAGGAGCCACACATATTCTAGGCTTGCAGCCACAAAAATGAATAGTAACACAGTGATTCCCTTCATTTACATTCTGAATGTGCTCCTGTCAAATCCAATGTGCAATGCTTTAATGAATTCTTTTCTTCTGATACATGTCACATCTGTAAAATATAAAACATCTCTAAAGCTGAAGAGAAATCAAAAGACAGCAATCTTTTTTTTTCTTTTTTTTTTTTAAAGATTTATTTATTTTTATTTGAAAGGCAGACTTAGGAAGAGTGAGAGACAGAGAGGTATTCCATTCACTGGTTTACTCCCCAAATGGCTGCAATGGTTGGGGCTGGGCTAGGCCAAAGCCAAGAGCCAGAGCCTCATCTGAGTCTCCATGTGGAGGCAGGGGCCCATGTACTTCGACCATCTTCTGCTCCTTTCTCAGGAGCGTTAGTAGGGGACTGGATCAGAAGTGGAGTAGCCAGGGCTCTTAACTGGCACCCATATGGGTTCGCAGGTGGGGCTTTACCTGGTATGCCACATTTCTCATTACTTTGGAAGAGCCACCCCAGTGGACATTTACTTTTCTGGGACTCAGACAGTCTAATGGCGTAAAGTAGCCTTTGTTCCACATATACTCTTCAGTATTATCTACATGTTTTCTTACCATCCTATGAATTATTTACATCAGGATCATGCCACCAAAGGGGACTTTTGTTTTTCAGCTTTGCATCTGTTTTCTCTGGTTGTTGTTGTTGTTATTCCTTTCAATGGTTTCAGTACCCTCACTTGTCTAGTACTGTGTTCTGAGCCCAGATTACCTTCATTGAACTTGTTTCTCTGTCTCCTTTTAAAATTGTCTTTTTGTTAGTTGAATAAAGTAAAACCACTCCAGTTGTTCTCATTATGGCAACAGAGGAAATAAGACTTGTGGGGAGCAAACCGGACTAGACTGAGTTACTGGAATTAAGACTTATTCTATGCATCTGCTCTCCCACAATATGGCGCTGGGAGAGAAGTAAACAGCTTCTGCACAGCTGCCTCCAGTTCAACCAATAAACTGTAGGACTTGGTCCTGATTGGAGGAGAGCAGCGTACTCGGCGTGTGGGCAGCCGAGTTGGGATTGGCAGAGGAGGACTATAAAGGAGGAGAGAGACGGCATGCACAAGGGAACATCTAAGGGGAACATCTAGCTGAAGGAACACCTGTGCAGCCCCTGAGAAGAGCCGGCCGGCGGTGTGCCGCTCCCCTGCGGAAGTGGGGAATGCGGCCAGGGGGAACTGCCCTTCCACGGAGGTGGAAGGGATAGTAGCCAACCCGGGAAGAACCAGCAGCAAACCCGGGGAGGGCCGAGCAGACGAAAGAACAGCGCAGGGTCCTGTGTTGCTCCTCCACGAAGAGGGGGAGCGGCATAATGGTGCTGTGACTCGGATATGAAGCCTAGGCAGGGTTTAGTGTCGTTCCTCCACGAAGAGGGGGAGCGACATAATGGTGCCGTGACTCGGATAGGAAACCTAGGACGGATATGAAACTTAGGAGGGAAGAAATGACTCGGATAGGAAACTTAGGACGGATAGGAAACTTAGGAGGGAAGAAACGGGAAGAAATGGGAAAATATCGGAGAGAGAGACTAGCAAACAGCCTAGGGAAAAGCCGGACGAAAAAGGTGCCGGAAGAAGCTATTGAAAGCCTAGGCATAGACTCAGATACGGACTACGGGGGGAAGCTGGGAGAAATCTCTAAGGTCGAAAGCGAAAGTGAAAGCTAGAACAAACAGACTCGGATGCGGACTGTGGGGAGAGGCCAGGAGAAATGAGGGAGGAATATCGTTGGAGGAAAGCTTGGGGAAACATACCGGGTAGAGAAAAATGTTAGGGAAATTGAAGCCGCGGGGGGCAGGCCAAGGCGGAAACGAAAGCCACTTTGGGATTCTCAAGTTAGCCCGGGAATGGGGGGCGAAAAGTTGAAACCAGAAGCTGAAACGTAAGCCAGATTGGGATCCGTCTGATTAGCCCGGGGAGCAAAGGACGGGAAGCCAAACCGTGGGGCGGAGACGTATGCTGGGTTGAATTCACCAGGCTAGCCCGGGGAACTTAGATTGAATGCTAGTGGCGGACACGTAAGCTACGCTGTGTGACTCGCGGAGGCTGCCGCGTGCAGACAGAGCGTGCGGGGCTCAAGTACATAGGGAACGCGGGGCTGGCGCGAGGCCGTGGTTCAGACGCGAAAGGGTTAAGTGCAAGACCGCGGAGTGTGCGCGCAAAGCCGAGCAGCGCAGATGAGAGAGACGCAGGCTGAAGCTGCTCAGCCGGAAAGCCGCCGAGAAATAGCCTCGGGGCGGAGCCTGCCGGCAGGGCGAGGCACAGGGAAGCCGCGGGGATAAGAGAAACAGAAGTTTAGAAGTAAAGTGAGAGAAATAGGAATGCTGGAAGGTAGAAGTAAAATGGGAGAAATAGGAATGCCCGGAGATAGAGAAATAGAGAAAAATAAGGCCTCCCCTCAACACGGCAATGAGAAAGCTTGGATTCGGTCTGCCTGATTAAGGCGGTAAGCGCCAGCAGGCGGCTCGACCAGAGTATGAGCCGCAGGTCACCGAACACAGGCACGCATCAGCGCCTAAAAACCTCCTCACAACATGGCGAAGAGAAGACCCGGATTCGGTTTGCCTGATTGATAGGACTTTTAAGAACCTGTGGCAACTCTAGCAAGTAGAGCAGAGTGTGTGCCGCGGGACACCGAAGACAGGCGCGTATCAACGCCAAAAATAAAAAGAAAGGGGGATCTGTGGGGAGCAAACCGGACTAGACTGAGTTACTGGAATTAAGACTTATTCTATGCATCTGCTCTCCCACAATATGGCGCTGGGAGAGAAGTAAACAGCTTCTGCACAGCTGCCTCCAGTTCAACCAATAAACTGTAGGACTTGGTCCTGATTGGAGGAGAGCAGCGTACTCGGCGTGTGGGCAGCCGAGTTGGGATTGGCAGAGGAGGACTATAAAGGAGGAGAGAGACGGCATGCACGAGGGAACATCTAAGGGGAACATCTAGCTGAAGGAACACCTGTGCAGCCCCTGAGAAGAGCCGGCCGGCGGTGTGCCGCTCCCCTGCGGAAGTGGGGAATGCGGCCAGGGGGAACTGCCCTTCCACGGAGGTGGAAGGGATAGTAGCCAACCCGGGAAGAACCAGCAGCAAACCCGGGGAGGGCCGAGCAGACGAAAGAACAGCGCAGGGTCCTGTGTTGCTCCTCCACGAAGAGGGGGAGCGGCATAATGGTGCTGTGACTCGGATATGAAGCCTAGGCAGGGTTTAGTGTCGTTCCTCCACGAAGAGGGGGAGCGACAAGACTTTCTTCATTAACATCTGCCATTGATTTAAGGGATATTCAGGCACACAAAAGCATACAAACATGTCCAGTTCTCAACAACCCTCAGCCTCAGATGATGAGATTTGGAATGTTCTGGAACTCTGATCACTCTTTGCAGAATTAGGTCTGAGTTCAGCAGATACTTCTCTTTGTAGCAAGGAGAAAGAAGAAGAGGGGCTAAATACATACTTTAATTCTGTGACTTGTCCAAAACTTTTGGAGCTGTTTTAACCTCAAGTCCTGGGAAAAGAGGCCACTATAATGAAAAATACTGCGGACACTGGTTATTATGACTTTAAAAACACACATTACCGCTTACATTCCCAAATAAGAATAAATAACATAGAGGTACAGATTGGTGAAGGGAAAGATAGTATGAGGACTTGAAATTAAAACTCTATTTTTTCAACAGGAAAGAAGAATAAGCTACGAGTTTACTATCTGTCATGGTTAAGAAACAGAATACTACACAATGACCCAGAAGTAGAAAAGAAACAAGGCTGGATCACTGTTGGGGACTTGGAAGGCTGCATACATTACAAAGTTGGTGAGTCTCGAGACATGGAAGTATAATTTTGGTGTGTCTACTAGTCAGAATCATTCAGTTAAACTTTACTCTTTTTTTTTCTGTTTGATGTATGTGTGACCAGTTTCATGTGGCTGGAATCTTAATTATACTCATGTTATTCCCAAAAAAATTAGATGATGAAGTTCAAAGAATACATTCAGAATAACATCCTAGGCTCCAGTTTGAACCTTTATATTTAATTCCTCCCAAAGACCCATTAAAATGACAGTAAGGGAATAAAAACACCATAAACCTTCAAGGACAAAGAGGCTAAGAGAAGAAAAGCCAGCAAATAAGAAATGTCAGTAAAATTGGTCAAGGGTAGCTGGGTGAGTAGGAAGCAGACATAGCAGACCAGGAAATGATGAATTCTAATCTACAGTAAAGAAAATCATCAAAATCAGCCCAGTTTCTCAAAACGAAACCAGAAAAGCCCGGATCTGAGGCCCCAAGGTAATCTAATATGGGTGTGTAGGGTGAGACTGGAGGTATAAGGACTTTCAGGCAGTTAATTGGCAGAATTCCAATGTGCTCATCACAACAGGCAGGTGTTACCCTCTCTAACTGCAATAGAGGAGGAAGGCGTTGGAAGCTAATGTGATGGTGGGAATACCCGTGAGGACACACTAGCACTCCTCCTGTCCCTATCTAGTTCCCTAAATGTTGGCAGCCATGCTACTACTTCCAAGGGAGAGATTGAAAGATTTGTCTTTAGAGAAACAAAGTGACCAGAAAGAAGAATACAGGTCCTCATATTTGAAGCTCCATGAAGAAAGTTCACTGCCTAACTACTCTGGAATGAATCCCAGCAGGTAATAAGCCCACCTGTAAAGAGAGCAAAGAAATCCACAAATAGGAAGGAAATGCAAATAGCACGATCAAACATTGTGGAGTGGGGGGAAGAAGTTTAAATGAAGGAGGGAGAGGAGGAAGAAAGACAATAAAATATCACAGAGACTAGAAAAATGGTTTTATAAAAGAAGCATAAGGGTATTTGTATTTTTTAACAGACATCTGAAAATCATACATACTTAGGAGGTTCTATGCAATATTTCAGTATATATACACATTATTTAATGTCCAGTCAGGGTAAATATATTTGTCCTTTCAATCATTTAATATTTCTTTATAGAGCAAACATCTAAAGTCCTATCTTCTAGGTTTTTCTTTATAGAACAAAACATTATCTATAATGACCCTCTTGTATAGTATAATGGCCACAGCTTCTCACTTCCTCCCTAGCCTGTGGTAGCCATCATCTTATTTTTAACTTCTATGGAATCGCCTATCTTTTAGACTCTATATGTGAGTGATATCATAGGATATCTGTCCTTCTGTGCCTGGCTTATTTCACTTAACATAATGAGCCCCAGTTCCATCCATGGTATAAATTTCAAGATCCCATGCTTTACATGGCTAGGTAATAGTCCATTGTGTGTATGTAGCACATGTTCTTTAGCCGTTCATGAGTGGGTGGATACTGAGGTTGTTTCCCTTTGTTAGCTGTTGTGAATAGTGGTGCAGAAAACATGGGAGTGCAGGTATCTCTTTGACAGAAGAATTTCATTTCCCTTGGATATATACCTAGGAGTGGGACTGCTGAATCATATACTAGTTCTATTTTTAGTTTTCTGAGGAACTTCCACACTGTTTTCCACAATGTCTGTACCAATTTACATTCCCACCAAGAATGTGCAACAATTCACTTTTCTCCACATCCTTGCCAACATCAGTTTTATCTGTTTATGTTTATCTTATAAGTGAGGTGATATCTCATTTGATTTACATTTCCCTGATTAGTGATGTTGAACATTTATGTACCTGTTGACCATCTATATGTCTTTGTGAAATGTCTCTTTCAATCTGCTGTCCATTTTTTAAATTGGATTTTTATTTCTTATTTCTGTTTCTTATATATTCTGGGTATGATGAACCCTTTGTCAAAAACTTAGCTTGCGGATATTTTCTCCTATTCTTAGGTTGTCTCTTCACTGTTTGTTTTGTTGTACAGAAGCCCTTTAGCCTCATGTTTATTTTTGCTTTAATATCTCAGCTTTTGGAGTATGATCCAGAAAACACTGCCTCTCTGAAGTCCTGAAATCTTTTCCCAAAAGTTTCAAAATGTCAAGTCTCACATTTGAGTCTTTAATCCACTTTGAATAGATTTTTGTCCATGGTGAGAGATAGAGGTCTAGTTTCAGGCTTCTGTATGAGGATATCCAAATTTTCCAGCACCATTTATTAAAAAACCTTCTCAAAAATCCTTTTTCCAGTGCATATTATTTTCTTCACTTGCCTAATTGTTCTAGCAAGTTCTCTGTCACTCATCAGTTGGCTGCAGGTGTATGGGTTTGCTACTAGTCACCCTGTCCCACTGATCTATGGATCTGTTTTTATGCCAATACCATATTATGTTATTACTGTAGCTTTGCAATGTATTTTAAAGGGAGGTAGTATAATGCTTCCTGCTTTGTTCTGTTTGCTCAAGACTGCTTTGGCTATTTTGGGTCGTCTATGATCTCATATGAATTTTAGTTTGTTTTTTTCTACTTCTATGAAAAATGTCATTGGGATTTAGATAGGGTTACATTGAATCTGTAAATTGCTTTGGGTAATATGCACATTTCAATGATGCTGATTCTCCAATCCATTAACATGAGGTATCTTTTAATTTATTTGTGTCTTCTTCAATTTCTTTAATCACTGATTTATCATTTTAACTACAGAGGTCTTACACCTCTTTGGTTAAATCTATTCCTGAATGAAAGTGGCATCATTTTCTTTTTCTTGACCTTGGAGAGAAAGCTTTCAGCTTTTCCCCATTCAATATGATGTTAACTGTTAGGCTGTTATATATGTCATTTATTATGTTGAGGTATGTTCCTTCTATACCTAATTTGGTCAGTTTTTATCATGAAGAGATGCTAAACATATCAAATTCCTTTCCTGCATCTGTTGAGATGGTCATATGATTTTTTCTTTCAAACTGTTGGTGTGCTATATCACATTTATTGTTTTGCAAATGTTGAACCATCCTTGCATCCCTGGGATAAATCAAACTCAGTTGTATTTAATAATCATTTTAATATGCTGTTGGATTCGATTTGTTCATATTTTTGTTGAGGAATTTTGCATCTGTGTTCATCAAACATATTGGTCTGTGCTTTAATTTTTGTTGTGTCCTTGTCTGGTTTTATTATGAAGGGACTGTTGGTCTTATTGAATGAATTAATAATAATTTAGTTTCTATTTTTGAATTAAAAAGGGTTGGTGTTAATTATCCTTTAAATATTTAGTAGCACTGGGCAGTGAAGCCATCTGGTTTTGGGCTTTTCTTGGATGGGAATTCTTTTATTGATTTAATCTCAATACTTGTTATTGTTCTGTTTAGGTGTTATATTTCCTCATGATTCAGTCTTGGTAGTGTAAGTGTCCAAGAATTTTTCATTTCTACTGGGTTATTGAATATGTTGACATAATTTTTCCTAGTAATCTCTAAAAACCTTTAGCATTTCCATGGTGCCAATAGTAATGTCTCCATTTTCATCTTCATGTATCTGAGTCTTCTCTTTTTTTCCTGGTTAGTCTAGCTAAGGGTTTATCAATTTTGTTTATCTTTTCAAAAAACCAGCCTTTCATTCCATAGATTTTGGGAGTATTAGTCTCTATGTCGGTTGTGCTCTGAATTTTATTATTTCCTTTGTTTTTGTTTTTCTAGTTCCTTGAGGTGCACTGGTGAGCTGTTCATGTCTTTTTCTTTTTCTGATGCAAGCATTGATTGCTATAAATTTTCCTTTAGTACTGCTTATGCTGTATCTCATAGGATTTGGTGTGTTGTGTTTCCATTCTTATTTTTGGGAATTTTTTTTAATTTCCTGCTTGATCTCTTCCTTGATTCATTGGTTGTTCAGGAGCAAGTTGTTTAATTTCCAGGTAATTGTGTAGTTTCCAAAGTTTTTCTTGTTATTTATTTCTAGTTTTGTTGCATTGTCGTCAGAAAGATACTCAATATGAATTCTATTGTAAACTATTTATGATGTGTTCTATGACCTATTGCATTATCTATCCTGGAAACTGATGCATGTGCTGTTGAAAAGAATGTGTATTCTGCGCTGTGGGATGGAAATTTCTGTAGATATCTGGTCCAGTTGATCTGGAGTGCAATTTGTTTTCTTTTTTTAAGATTGATTTTATTTATTTGAAAGAGTGATGGAGAGAGAGGTCTTCCATCCACTGGTTCACTCCCCAAATGGCCACAATGGCTGGAGCTGCGCTGATCCGGAGTCAGGAGCCAGGAGTTTCTTCTGGGTCTTTCACACGAGTGCAGGGGCCCAAAATCTTCTACTGCTATCCCAGGCCACAGCAGAGAGCTGGATCAGAAGAGGAGCAGCTGAGACTAGAACCAGTGCCCATATGGGATGCCGGCGCTTCAGGCCAGGGCTTTAACCTACTGTGCCACAGTGCAGGCCTCTCTATAGTACAATTTAACTCTGCTGTTTATTTGTTGATTTTCTGTCTAGATGGTCTATTTCTGAAAGTGGGATGTTAAAGTCCCTACTATTGTTATATTAGATTCTCTCTCCCATTAGTCTATTAACATTTGCTCTAAATATTTGGGTGCTGCGATATTGGGTGCAAATATATTTATAAGCAGTATTTCTTCTTGCTGGGTTGAACATTTATTTATTATATAATGATCTTCCTGGCCTCTTTTTACTGATTTTGATTTCATTCAATTATATTTGATAGAAGAATGGCTACTCCTGCTTTCTTTTGAGTTCCATAAGCATGGACTATCTTGTTCTATCCTTTACTTTTCAGTCTATGTCCTTAGGTTAGAATGAGTTTGTTGGCCAGCGCCATGGCTCACGAGGCTAATCCTCCACCTGCGGTGCCAGCACACGGGGTTCTAGTCCCGGTCAGGGCATCGGATTCTGTCCCAATCGCTCCTCTTCCTGTCCAGCTCTCTGCTGTGGCCT